CCATACTATCACTTAGCAATATGAAATGCTTACATAAATCTCTAGTAGAAAACTTTTAAAAGGAAAGTACTTCACATTACTCATTAGGGTTGGAAATGTTTAATAACTGATGTATTTCATGCCTTTTGTCACCCATATATAGGTGCCACTTTTATTTATGGTATGGGCGACATTACTTACAGTTGATCATAATTAATAGAAATGTAAAACTTTCCTTTTTCTATAGGATCTTCAAAAATTGCATTATGTACCTACTGCTGGGTGATATTTTGTGCTTGATGCTAAATTCTTTTTAATTTTTGTGGGACATGCCAGCTTTGCACAATGAGCTGTCATGAGTGTTCCTGAGTTCAGACTCTTTGTTAGATGTAGAATTGTTCCTGGATTTTTTGTAAAATACCTTATTATGCTGAACTTCCAAATAGTGTTTCTTTTAAATTATCTAGATTCATAACTTGTTGTTTATGTTTTACATAGTATAATTCAATCCCCATTTATATCATTCGTTAACCTTTATTTTTGAAGGACTGAAGGTATTTTTTTGATCAAGAAGTAAATCTACATAAACTACTATGTATTTTTGATAATTACAAATTAACTGGATTTGTTTGTAAAATATTATCTGAAAAAGGTGATCTCACAGCGTACTTCAATTTTTATACTTTCAATTCATTTCAATTAAGTAAACATAGTAATTTTGTTAGCCCTTAAACGTGACGTTTAGCTTGATGTCCTACTGTCTTCGGTTGTTTTTTTTTGAAAAATACCTTTAAATCATTTTAATAAATATGACTACTGATTGAATAATGTTCTGTGATTTCGACTTTTGATATAAAATCGATATCATCTTTTTGATTCATTTATTTTCTTTGAAAACTTACAACATGGGTTGCATTTTTTTCTCAATGAACACTTTTAGATAAAGGCGAATAGTATCTTTCCTATCATTTAATGGTGCTGTAACGATTAGCATCATTTGGTCACCTTTGAAATTGAGGATTTAAAACTAAGGTGCGTTTATTTTTTGTTTGAATAATAATATATTATTGTTCTCATGCACTGTTTTTCATTACTATATTGAACAGTATTTAATTGAACTTTGAAATAGACTTTCGTTGATCGCAATTAGTTTTTTTTTTTCATCAGTTCAGTTAAATGAGTAACTTATGTTTTCCTTTCATAATCTATAAGTTTTACCCATTGTCGCTTAGAAGTTGGGACAGGGAAACTGAATTTAGGTGTTTATACGACAATAATAATTTGATTTAGTCTTTAATAAATGTATCTTATATCATTTACGTGAATCGTCCTAAAAAAAGTAAGTATTTAAATCTGACAATTTCCGTGATTTTAAATTCTGATTGTCACTTATTATTGTTTAAACTCTTCTAAATTTGGTGGGTAATTTGTGTTGGAACAAAATCCACAAATTACCTGCTATTATTTATTGTTATTCACAATCCATCACTTTGTGTATCTCTGTTAAGAGATGGTCACGGACCATATATTATTGGTTTTATAATATTTCTTTATTATCACGACTGACCTTGTTTTAAACTCTTGATGTAATCAAAATGCATGGATTATTTTTTAAAGTTACATTAGACATTGTTAATGTAACACTTTATCTTTTTATCTTATTCATAAATATGTGCATCTTCCCGTTGTTGATATTATAAGCACATTCAGCTGACAAGTCACCCATCTAGCATAAATTGCACTCTATGGATTCCACCATTATCCACTACCAAACTATACTCAAACCCTGTTATCTGTTAATTTTGACAGTGAAACTTCCTTTCACTTGTCTAAGTTTAGTTTCGGAAAGAAAATAAACAAAAAGCCAAAAATTTGCGTAGGGTTAGTGCGTTCAACTTTTAACTTCTAGGCCACAAGTTCGAGTTCAGTTCCGCGTATTTTGGTTTAAAAAGACGGGCAGTATCACTAGTCCTCACATATAATTTACTTGATTTAAAGCCAAGTACATGAATATGTGATTGTTAACTGAATTATACCAATCAGTTAATATTTATATATGTTTCTGTTGTCAACACCAATCAAGGTGGCATATTTTACACTTCTTATTTTACATGTGTTAAAAACCAACACTTGGATATTCTACCTTATTTTATGTTACATATTATATAATAGTTATTAATTTAAACAATGCGTTATCATCCAATTCATAAATCTCAAGACGACCGTTATGGTAAGCAGCCGATTTCTCTAGTGTTCTGTCGTTATTATTACTGTTATCTCGCTCAACTTGATACTCTTTGTTGCTGTGTCCTAACTTAATCTAAACCTTTCGCTTATATATTTTTAATGCTGTATGTATATTATACAAAATCTGCCAGTTTGAGTTCCCGTTTTGCAAGAAAATCTCTGGATATTCTCTAAATAACTGATTTTTATGTACAAGTACGTTTTAATCACGTTTACTTACCTGGGGAGAACTAATTAATGTAACATCAAATTTCAATTGCCAGCCATCTTTTAACATAGTTTATTATTTTAGTCTTATTTTCCTTTTACTCACTATCACTTTTCCGCTTTGCACTTTTTATGCTGAAATAACCCTAGTTTGCCTATTTTAGCATATAACACTGACTTCTATCAGGATTGATTAGTTTCTGATTGAGTCCCTTCAACAATTTATAGTTTAAAACAAATCTTGTAGGCAAATTTGAGCTTATTCACCGTTTCTATCTGTAAGTTGCAATCTACTGGATTTTCTCTGTTACTAACTCAGTTCACTGGTTTCTTCTCAGTCATATTTAGTTAATGTTTCTTGTCATGTTTTCCGTTTCAATTGCTTGTACCGAAAATGTTTGCTTAAAAGAGTCCTCATTATCATTCTTATCGTTATTATTGGTTGTTGTTCCTGGTTAAATATTGTTCGATAGCTGAAATTAGTCATTGTTAAATCCTTTCAAAAAGCCTTATACAGTTTGTAGTTATTTATAAATTTATGAGTGATAGATTGTTGAGGTTAAGTCCTCAAAACTAGACAACATTGGAAGACTTCCATGAACAGTGTCAGCTGCCGATTTTGATTGTGTGGAATTTCTTAAAACCTAACACATTAATTCTTGATCTATATGCAGTTGTAGTAGTTGTCAATGTGCATCAAAAGAATTTTAAACTCGAACTTATGAAAAGTTCACCTAATCGTTGCGAGCAATGGTTGGCATTCAAAGCCGAAAAATTGGGAAAGTCGGCGGTGATAGGCAACTTTTTAAATTTATCAAAGAACCAGGTATTGGAAATTTGGTAGTTAGTGTGACTTTTTGAAAAAGATGAGACGCTGATTCATCCTTGTTATGTCATACAGACTTGCTAATATATCACGTGATAAAATCGCCAATTAGAACACCGACTTGTACGACCTTGGAACTGTGCCAAACCAATGGTGAGTTAACCGGTGCGAGTAGCTTATAGTCAACTCTGAGTCCTTATTAGTTCTTTTTGCCTAGCCCAGGCTGTTCGAGTCTGGAACGCGATCTCAGCTCCCATTGTATGAATCATATACTTCAGACATATTTGGTTTATATACAATCAAATCAAACCGAATCATACCATAAAATAAAAAAACAATTATGCAAGATCAAGCCAAAAGTGTCTGTGAGTGTGCGAGACTGTAGCCAATAAGTTGGGAGTAACCCTAAGAATAGAAAATCGTACATTAGTAGTCAATAGATCAAATAAAAGCTTATGACAAAAGGAATATATATATATATATAAATTATCTGTTGAATGTTCGGACATTTTTATTTGCTCATAAGTCATAAGTCTTACAATAAATGTTAGACCGTATTCCATTTTGAATCCTTAAATTTGGTTTCATAAAATTATTATATTGAGTAAATGGCATATAATCGTTTGACAAACTCATTTTCTCTTATTCTCCTTTTTTGATTAGAATAAAATCTGTAACATAAAATGCAATTTTTAGCACTAACTGTCCTTCATTACATTCCATTAATTTGTTGTTGTTCTTTTGATTCAAGTGATTTTGATTATATTACTTAAATATTTTGGAAATTCTAGTGGTTTATAGGTTTAATTATTCACAGATTGGTCTTAGTTAGAGTACCCTTGAAGACTACAAATTATTGGGCAACCATTTTTTTCCAGTATATAACTTGTAAACAGTGCGAACCCTTGACTTCTTTAGAGATCAAACTCAGGGCCTTCAGGTATTACGGTATACGCTTGAGCTGAGCATTAGAATCAATAGTTCAACGTCCAATGATATTCTTCTAACCTGGACCAGCTAGTAGAATATATATATTAGTATTGAGTTATGATGGAGTACTTATTTAAAAGAAATATTTCTTCTCACAACTTTTTTTAAAATGGAATACTCACTTAACGTTTATGGAATATTGAAAGAGTTGCTTGCTGAAGTTGAATTCACTAACAAGCACAATGAGTAACACAACACTTCTTGTTGTAATGCATAACGTGAAGCTTATGAAATTAGATTTGATAATAATAACCTGTTTCTTACCAAAAAATAAACGTATTTTAATTAGTCTCTTGGTTTATTTGGGAAATTCAAAGATTTATCGCACAAAATTGCGCTAGTTTCTTAATCTAACCATAGAAATCGTAACATTAACCATACATATACTATGAAATATTTAATAACGTTAATTATGTTTACGTATATAAAGTTGCATTTCAATCGATTCCAATTCAGGATTAATTGATGGCGGTTGATTTCAGTTGATTAGATTAATTCACTGTGAATGTTCAGTCAATTCTATCTGAATTTTATTCTAATCAGCTGTTCAACGTAAGTTCTCAACCAATCACTTTAATTAATATAGCGTTATAATTCAAAATGAATATATATTCAGTTTGTTAACGGATATGAAAAAAACCCACCTTTAGTTTGTGTTTAAATCATCATGATTAAAAGTAAGAAAATACAGTATAGTTATATCCTAGCCTTGTATCTTAATAATGTAATTGTTCTCAACACATTTGTTGTACTTTATTAACTACTACTCTTAGATTTTGTTTTTCTGTACTGTTAACAACTAGGTATTCATTTGACAAAATAAGTCTTATTCACGGTGGTGCATACTGAGAAAAAGTATATTTCATATTCCAATAGGTTGCACTACTGACTAAATTTCATGAATGAAATCTATTTGTTTATCGTTAAAGTACTTCGCTACTTATTGTCTATGTGTGGTGATGATGATGTTGATGGTAATAATTTTTAAAGAATTGAATGAATCTAAATGCCTAAACTAAATCAATAAACTTCATCATCGGTTGGTATTTGTTATTGGTGCTTGAGGGTGGCCTCCAATCAAAATCAACTGGTTTCAAGTACTGGAAAAGGTGTTCAAGCTGTTGATACTGTCGACTTTTTTCATTGTAAGATTAGCTCAATGGACAGCTGTTCGAAGTTGGCAATATGCTAATCTTATGGGAATGTTAGTTTTAATCTTGTGTTATGGCCCATTTATTTTTCAGATCTTACCTTCACACCGAATATCTTTCGAGTTATAATTATGCTATTTTTAAATCTAACTTTTATAATACTTCCTGTTTGTATAAGACACGGCTATGTGTGGAAAACGTACTCACAACTGTTACCCCTCGTAAAGGAGCATAGACTGCTCATCAGCATTCTCCATGCAACTCTGTCCTGAGCAATCCTTTCCAGTTGTTATCCATCCTTTTCATGTCTGCTTCGAATTCCCCGTATAGTGTGCTCTTTGGTATTTTTGTTTTCAGTTTCGGTTCAGAATTCCAAGTTAGTCCTTGCCTCGTGATGCAGTTTGATGATTTGCCTAATGTGTGTCCTATCCATTTCCATCGTCATTTCCTAATTTCCTCCTCAGCTGGAAACTAGCTTGTTCTCTCTCACTGTAGGTTGTTGCTGATGGTATCCGACCAACGGATATTGAGTATATTATGTAGACAATTGTTTATAAATACTTGTACCTTTTTGATGATGGTTGTAGTAGTTCTTCACGTTTGAGCTCCGTACAGTAGAACTGTCTTGACGTTCGTATTGAGAATTCTGACTTTGATATTGGTTGAGAGTTGTTTTGAGTTCCATATGTTCTTCAACTGTATGAATGCTGTCCTTACTTTGCTAATCCTCTCCTTTACGTCTGCATCCGAACCTCCTTGTTCATCGATGATGCTTCCCATGTATGTGAAGGATTCTACATCTTCCAGAGTTTCGCCATCAAGAGTGATTGGATTGCTGTTCTCCGTGTTGTATTTGAGGACCTTGGTTTCCCCCTTGTGTATGTGGAGGTCTACTGATGCAGAAACTGCTGCTACACTGGCTGTATTTATTTGTAGGATGCTAGAGTTTCTCCATGTGTGATTTTGTTGTTGCTGTGCTTGTTGTATTTGACGATGTTGCTCTTTCACTTGAGTATCTTGATACCTACTGATGCAGTGGCTGCTGCTGCATTGGTTGTCTTCATCTGCATTTGTTCGTGTGTATGGGATAGGTGGTGTTCTAGGTTATCTGCGAAGTCCAAATCTTCTAATGATTCCGATCCGTCCATTGTATTCTGTGCTTCACTTGAGATGTTGAGGTGTCCATAATCCAATCGACCACCGTTTACATAATTGAATAAACAAATGGTTAAATTTAATTCTTAATGGTTTACACAGATTTATCGATTAAATAATATAGAACGAAATAAATGCGCCTTACAGTGGAATGCAGGATGTGCATTTCGTCCCATTTGGGACTCGTCAGCTGAATGTATAAGCATCCCAGAGTTGATGTCCACTTTGGGATTTGAACTCAGCAGCGTTTGCTTCAAATGCTATTGTGTTATCTGCTTGGCTACTGAGTCCAGCAAATGGTATTGGGTTTGCGTCCGGGATTGAGCATGAGCTCGTCCCAGATTCTATTGCTAGACGCATTCTATCCGTTCTATATTTAATTGTATCACATTGGCTATGTCGAAACAATTCACTCAGGTTGCTCATATCCGAACCAAAACTAATCGAAATTCATTTAAAATATCAACAACGCTTTAATCCAAGACACTTCGAATTGAATTATCAGTTAGATAGTTTTGTTAATTTAATAATGCCTTAAATTTCCTTTCTCAAACGATAACAATAATAATACTAACAATTATAGTGGTAAGAAGATTTTCCGGAATAATCAACTTAATAATTTTTATTTTACTTGTGATGAATAAAAACGTGTTTGTAAAAATCTTGAAATAAATAAATAAATATTAACATAATTGAACGTTGTACATCTCATGGTATATTTTAAAGAAAAACAAGAAAAACTAGTGCTATATTTATATAAACAGTTACTATTTTTAACGCAAATATGTAGTCCTATTTATGAGATTATATAGAAGTGACATAAAATTACCGTGGAAAAATCAAAAGTAAATGACTAGTATCAGAAGGGGTTTTGTGGATATTATAGTAGTTTTCAACGTTGATATTAACACTGTTGGATGTCGGCTCAGTGGTTTAGAGGTTAGGCGTTCGCGCACAAGACCGATATGTTCTGGGTTCGAATCTCGCGGGGCGGGATCGTGGATGCGCGCTGCTGAGGACTTCCACAGTAGGACGAAACGGCTGTCCATTGCTTCCAGGTTTTCCATGGTGTTCTAGCTTCGATTGACTAAAGAAATTTAAATTGTAAATGACTAATTAAAATATAATAGTCTAAATAATTTAACTAGAACAAATATGTTGAAATAAATTCATGTGAAAGATCTCTATTTATGCAAGCGTTTGAGGTTTTGCATCGTTAATATTTAGGTGTTGATGTGATAAGCTTAGTTACTATTGGGATATGTGATTTCTGAAGGGATTACCTGAATATTGTAATTTTCCATCAAGTTAATTTGTGGATAAAGTGGTATCCACAACATACATTTCGAAAAAGGTAAACCTTACCCATCTAACAAGTAAATGACAAAAAGTGCTCAGTGAAAAATGTGTCAACTTTTGAAAAGTACAGGATCTGAGTCTCGATGTGAAGTTCAAAACTGGTATGCCAGTACATCTGATTGATGATTCATGGCTAAGATGAAGTGCATATCCGAGACCCAAATGATAGTACCTATCCGACTTTTATAAAAAAGTAATCCATATTTGTTCCCTAATTGATTGAATGCCTGAAGATTTCTACATGTAAATGCGTGTACGCGTGTATTTTTTTTCCTTTTTTGATTTTTAGGAAGTACACGCTCGTTCTATCCACTAAACATGTTTTCATCATCAGACGCGCTGAATCCATTTGCAGACCCTACTACTACATTGAATAATTCATCACAACATTGTCAACAAATTACTAACAGTACTAATCAACATAGTAATAGTAATGTTACTGGACTAACTTCCTCGACATTAACTGAAAACGATCGTGGTAATAAGTCTAAATTAATTGATGAAAAAGATGGTATACTGAATGATGAAATGTTCACGGCAAATTCAAATGTTAAGTTTGATGTTGGTGACAATTGTGGGTTGCCTATCCATTCTCGATTTCCTAATATAACAAAAGGTGATTAATGTAATAATAATCATTAGTTCTTCCATGGATTATAATTGTTTTTATAAAATTATTGTTATGTTTACTTTAACGAAAACACAAATTTACATATCGTCAGTTAAGCTTTGAACGATAATTATTAAATTTAAATCACACAATTTCTCAAATGCTTTCATTTAGTATAAATGAAGTTGACATTTTTAATTCATTTAACAAGTATGGATTTGTTTACTTGACTTCAAGAGATACTGCAAGTGTGAAGGTCAATGACATTACACAGTTGTTGGATCCAAAGTTGGTTGAGGGTTGTTCGAATTTGGAAAATCTTAATCAGTGAGCCATCACTGCATTTAATACTACATAACAGTATGCAAAATAGTTTAGAGGTGACACTGATATTTTGACCAAAAATATGGGTAGTTTAAAATACCATGGAGTCATTACCCTTCACTGATTTGTACTGTTCATAATGGGAGTCAGCTACGCTATACAATTATTTCCTATTTATTTGATGCCATCTAGTCTCTGATCTGAAAAAAAGTGTAAAGCACGCTATGAATTACATTTAATAAATATTAAGTGGTTTTGTAGTGTTATTTTGTATAAGTTAAAAATAACCAGCTTATATCTGCTAAACAGTTATTGAGACCCAGGAATCACAGGACATTTATTTCATTGTTATGTATAACTCAATAGCGTACGTCCTTGACTCCTTCAGAGATATTTTTATTTTATGTTACACTTGCATTGTGTCACAGCCTCAAAAAATCGAAATAAGCCTTATTCCTAAACATTCCTCCATAAATTCACCGGAGATTGTAAATGTTCATCGTGTTTTCTATATCATAATGACTTGGATACTGTTCGCCCCTAAATGTCCTGGTACAGTCGAGGTTAGGAAGAGTCATCTGTTCCTCTTGAAATGCCCTCACACGGCCACGCGTATACAGCCACTACCAAGGATATCCTACTCACTACCTTTTTGTGTCATTACTGTTTACGAAATCGAGAGGACGAGAAGCGAATGCCCGGCTCGTTAACCGGGTTGGTGGATACGGACGGTCTACCTAGGGGAGTTGGAAAACCCTGATTCAAAACCAATAGTGCACATGGGCTCCTGAGGGAAAAAATGGGGTATGAACCTATTGTTGGTGACCGGCCATCATGGGACTGTATCTTCTAATGTTGCTCCAATGCCTTGTGGATTAGACCTTTAGATCAAAAGCTCTGTGTGTGGCCCCCTAAGAAAACCATCTGCACCGGTTTGGGTGCCCGAACAGTATCTCAGCCGTCACACAAACCGGCTTCATTGTTGTTGTGTGGCGCATATATATTTGGTTCCCCCTTGTACCAATGTTTATGTGTTGAAATAAATGATAACTACTACTGGATTCTGTTCATTAAAAATAATGTTAGTTGAGTCTCTCTAGACATATATTCATTCTTTATTTATCATTATTGATTGGATTGTTAAGTGTGATAATGATGATTTGTGATTATGAATTATTATCTAACTGGCTCAACAAAGTTTTATTTTAAATGATGGATCGACCGAGTTGCAGTTGTGGTTTAATAAAGCTGTGAACATATTCATTACAATGATTCTTAGTTATTGCCTGTCTTGTTGTATCATCCGTATAATTTGTGCAGTATAGACACAGTGATTTTTTTTAGTAGAATAAATAAACTGCTTTGTTTTTGTTATTAAAATGACGAATGGAACTAAGTTGGATAAAGATTGAAAATTTTGGAGCATTAGGTAATTGTTTCTTCGTGGTATGAGACTTTTTCGTGATAGTGGGTTGAATGATACACAGTGACGAAGAGTCCTGTACCATGACAAAACAGTTGTCCAGTGCTTCCAGGCTTTCTTTGGTTTTCTGAGCCAGGTTTCTTATCTCAATAAAATCTGACTTGAATTTCTAACAACTTTCTGGGTTTGTGCTGACCGCTTATATTAAAAGGTCTAGTCAGTGTAGTTGTAATGAGTGGTTGTTTTTCTGTTATTATGTCTTCGGTTTTCTAGACAAGCGTTTCAATTTTGTGTGCCATTGAGTGGGTTTTACGAAGTTCCTATCATGTTTGTGTGGACGGAGGATTTCAAACTGTACAATACTGTGTCTGGTCATTCATCATTCTTAATTTTCTCGTTCTTATGTTTAGTTCTCATCACTTGAAATGTAGATGTCAAGCTCAAGATCGCTTGGCTGGTATAGTGTCCTCGTCTTAGTTTTTCTATTTGTTGAACTCAATTTGTTTGTATTTAATCAAAACTGTCCATTGACTCTTTTTATCCATGATCATGATAATGAAATAAATTATTACAATTTATTCAAGTATTTTCTGTTGTTGTTATTCATTATTCAGGTCGAAATGGTGAATTCTTATCATATCAAAATATTAATTCAATCAATAGTCATTCTACTGGAGCAATATCGAAAGTTGAACATTATGAAGATTTCGAAACTATCGACTGGGTCAAAGATGTTTCACGTGATCGATGTCGTCATCGAGAACTTCATTTGAATAGAGTTAGTTTGAGTTTTCCTTTATATCTTTCTTTACTTCCGATATTTTTTCGTGTTTTCATCGTCAATCTTACCAATGTATAACTTATTTTAGTCTTAAATTGACGGAGAGCATTTGTAACTCAAGTGGATGCTTTTGATTTTGTCAACTTCTCTAAGATAGATGGTTTCATTGCGGAACCTCAATTGAAATTCTGGAGGATATCAGTGTTTGCTTCATATAGAAAAAGTGACCTTAATCGTGTATAAGCGTAAAATTGGTTTGTTCTAGTGAACTTACATGTAATTGACTGCCTTCATAAGTTTTATTTTATTCATTTTTCGTTGGGTTTCTTGTTCTGTTTGCCTCTGAACATTTTTATTGGCTTTCTTTTCTATAGGTTGATGGATTGCATCCACCTCGATATGTTCGTTGATTCCCGATTTACTTAGGCCATATGCTTCTGGATCTTCATTAACTTGTTTACAAAAATTCTTGATTCTCTATCAAATGATAAACATTGTTTTTTGTATGATCTGTAGAGCAGTGATATAGAATGTGACTCATGAGTTAATACTCCGTTATCTGACGTCTTGTGTTCTTTGAGCAGATTGCCTCAAAATCTTTAAGTCATTTGGCCAATATTGGGTTCTATACACTTGGTTATGTTTTTAAGTATCTCCAAACCGTTGACAGTGTATTTCCAGATTTGTAAAATTTCCAAGATAAAATTGGTCAAGGAAACTATGGTTTTTAAAAAAATTGTCTATTTATTCAAACAGTCATTTTCTTACCTGTTCCCTATTAGTGTCCACATTACTAATGCTTTTGTTGGCTGTCTAAACAAAGTCAGTTCATGGTGTAGAATTACCAATACAACATATTTCGCGACTCCTTATTCTAGCAAATTCAAAAACGAATAAGTAGCGTCGAATTGTAAATTACTAGAGATTGACAGATAATTCCCATTTAAACATTAAAATTAAAACACGAATTTCAGCGAAGGGATCTCTTTTCAACGAATTTATTATCAAGCTGTACAATCGTATATATATGAAAATTTTTTGTTTTTGTAAAAGTACTAATTCCGTGAGGAAATGTGAACACAGTTAATATAAAGGTTATAATACTAGATTACGTAATATGAATAATAACAATAACAATAGATTTAGTGATTATAATAAGATGATTCAAATGTTTTTGTTATAATAATTAAAGGTCATAGAGGTGTACAAAAAGAAACTGATATGATGAGCGTTCATGAATAAAACAATGAGAATATAAGACATAAGTAAAGGGGGAATGCAGTAATTATAAAAATAATAATAATAATAATAACATTAATGGTAGGATAATCAAACTAATTAAGGCCAAGGTAACGATAACGATAAGACGTACTTCTTTTGTACGCATAGTTCTGGTTTAAGCTCCTGGATGGCAAGAGCGTCGGCTATTTTTAAAAGTTGTATACGAAGAAATCTGGGTAGATTTGAACGAATCATATAAACAACCTTAAAATCAATTTGTGGATCTGTTCAATGGTTATAGTCAATTAGGTGTTCAAGAATAGAACTCCTAACTGCTTTCCTTTCACCCTTATAGAACCAGGCTGGGATATGTTCTCGTATCCGAGTTGAAAGCGAGCGCTGGCTACGGCCAATGTACCTTGCTCCACAAGAGCAGGTGAACTGGTAGATGCACATGGAGGCGACCAGACGCGGAAGCTTATCTTTTATGGATACAGAAAATAAGTTTCTACTAGTGAAGGATATTCGCAGTTTTGCCGCGTTAAATGTTCTCCTAATAGTTGTTGTTAGACGGTTTTTGATTACGTCCGATGTTCGGTCACCTTTAAATTCCAGACTTATATAAAGGTTTTTCTTTGGAACGGAACAACTAGAATTCTTCTCGCGACTACTTTTATTCATATTCTTTTCTATGAACCGTTCTGGGTTGTTTAGATTAGTATAACTTGGTGTAAACCTTCTGAATGAGGTTCGCAAAAAGATAAAAAATATAGTTGAAGGAATGCATAATCTGTTTGGGATATTTTGTGAATTCTCACAGACTCACTATGTCATACTTTTCTTCCGAGTCGATCTGTTTGTCCGTTTCGTAAATTTATTTCTATCGTTTCTTTTCACTATTATTTCACGTTATGACAAACTGAACCTATCAATCATTATTTCTGATTATGTAGGTTTGTAATAGGAATACTTGATTTTATCCTAAATCATTATCTATCACAGTGAATAAATCGGTAACGTTTTATTCTATTCAAATCCTATAATCTACCATTTTGTTTATTTGGTATACATTATTTTAAAAGATTTGAAAATTGCTTGTTCTAGAAGAGTTTTAGCAATCTTCGAATGTTGACAGATAAACAGAAAATTTCACGTTACATTTGGAGTGCATGTGTTTGACTTTGTTAAGTTCAGTAGACAAAATATCTATTTCATCTTACAATATGTTATTCTATTAAATCTAAACCATTATAGTTATTATCTCTTATTAGATGCTGAAATTTAAACAAAAGAATATTTATGCATCTAATTTGTCTGATATCATACACTATACACAAATTTATTCGTTTCATTGTCAGCTATCTTGTCACTTATATCATTTTTAGTATATATTCGAAATACATCTTATTTTAATTATTTTCCTGCTTTCAGTTTTGATAAATTTTATTTCGTAAATGCAATAAGTTAACCAAAATTCACATTATTGCACAGTTTTTCATGTCATTCAGCTTGCTAATTGATTTCAATCCTATATTTCTTGTATCCAGTATTTGGTATTCGGCTCCAAACCATTCGATTTGTAAGAAGATCAGTGATACTATCCAGTGGTAGTTGGAGTGCTATATGTTAAGTGGTGGTTGAGTAAATCATTGAATGGTCGAAAATGAAACCCTTTAATCACCAAGTCAGAGTTTATTGTTGCATATGATTGTGAATTCAATAACTGACTTGTCAAACTGCGTTATTCAAAACTTATTACATTTTCAATATTTCCTTCGTGTTATTGTTTTTCGACTATTTTTTACATGATCAATTTAGAACCCAGTCATTCATAATATAGAAAAACATTTCTTTTTATGACCATATCGTCTTTCCTTTTATTAGGGTAAGCAAATTTAATTCCTTATTATTTAAACTGGTTCTATGCTTCCTCTCTATGTGTTTTCATTGTCAATTTTACAATTTCTAGAAAACATGCTGTGGTTCAATTAAAGCCTGTTGGGATTCTGCTTCTGGATGGTTTTGTGTGTTATGTGTCGGTTTGTTAACAGGTTTCATTGCTTGCATCATTGATATTGGTTGTACTTGGATGTCTGATTTAAAAGAAGGTGTTTGTCTAGATGCATTTTGGTTCAACCGTGAACAGTGTTGTTGGTCATCAAGTCAAGCGGATGATGTCTGTGATCAAGTAAGTATGTTCGTTATATTTCTTTATTCTTCAGTAAAGTGCTAGTTACAAGTTTTTGGTTGTCGATTTTCTTCAAAACATCAGATCATTAGGCCAGCCAGATTGTATCAATAGCCCATAGCCAAGTATATAAATTTGTACTTGTTAAATGAGTAATTATTTCTATTTATTATTAGCTAAGTGAAATACTGAATTTCATTTCTGTTGTTTACACCCCTGAGATTATGCAATTTTATTTACAAATTTAGTTAAAAAACAGTATACTAATATGTTGGGGAGATCCATAAAACTCCTTGAAAAAAGTCAAGAAAGGCTCTGAAAACACCGAGAAGCATCTTATCCAATCAGCGTCCACCAAAAGTTCTGCCAGAAACATGAAGAAAGTGTAAAGTTACATGTCGAGTTTCTGACTGGGTGATTACTTATACTGCTACTATGTTTAGTAACGTTCCAGAATTTTCGTGAAACCCAAGGACATCTAAAATAGTATAAAAACCCTAGGTTTTTTTGTATATGAACAGATCTTCGGAGTCAAGTGTTTCTTACGTACTTCGCGCCTTTTCCGTCGTGTTCAAGTCACTGTGTAGATCTAGCCTGTGGATTACTGGAAGAGTTTAGGAACAAATCTAGCGTTCAATTAGAAAGACTTATAATGGTAGTTGGTTCATAGAAGTGAAGCAATAGGTTCAGTTTGAAAAAAGATTCGGACACACTAATATTGGATGTTTCGAATTGTGATTAGAGTTTTATTATCCAGTGTGGAGTCTTTGTAATTGTTTTTGTTCTCTTTCTTCACTCCTTTCAATTTTAGTGGTATTCATGGTCTCGTCTTTTTATGAACAAAGATCCAACTGGTGAATATCCAGATGCTTACTTTGTTGGTTACATATTCTACATTATTTATGCTGTATTATTTGCTCTAGTTTGTGTATTTCTTGTTCGTATGTTCGCTCCTTACGCTTGTGGTAAGACATGTTTTACATTTAACTGCCTGTGCTTAAAATGTAGTTTACAAAAGGTCGTGTTTTTTTAAAATTCCATTATTCATGGTCACTAAACAGAGTAATATTGGCTTAGAAATTGTCAGTGTACATCCTGGTCTATCTGTTTCGATTTAGGTAGCTAAGTAGTATTACATCAGATTTGAGAGCTAATGTGAGACTATTCCATAAAATTTTACTTAGTAACTAATTAAATTCAGTAACAGTTGTTTTTAGAGTAGTAGTGGAATTCAGGACGCGCGTTCTTGATGTGCATGTGCATCTAAGTGTTTATGTTCAGACTGAGATTTGAACTCATTACCTATCTCTTTAGGAATCAGAATGTTGTCCACTCTGTCATTATGAAACTGAACTAGTAAGTGTGTAGTTTTAATCTTACTTTTCTGAATGATAACTTTTGAGTACTTGTTCATTATCAATTATATTATCCGCGTCAATGTTAATACTAGGTGTTTATTTAACAACAGTTCTAGAAAAATTACCGAAAATGGAAAGAAATCGAAAGTTGATTATTTAATTCAAGAATATCACTGCTAAGAGCTGGTGCTTTTACCTAGTTTCCTAATTTTAAATACATTGAACTGTGTTTGAATCTTTGAAGTGTTAAAATAAGTAGTTTCAGAGGACTATCAATTTGTCATAGGTTTGAAAACTATCGGTTTTTGTACTCTTTACTAGTCAAGTTATTCAGCCAAACCTACCTTATATGTGCACTTTTTGAGCTTTCTTTTAAGCCCCTTATCAGTCGACTAATCCATTACATAAAACTATATTTCACCAGTGCACCAAACTGAACTTAAACCATTCGGCTTCTTGTGTAATTGTAGTTTCAATGGCAGTCAAAAGTCCCTTTCAAAAGAATCCTTATTAATCTCTTTTAGTCGGTCAACCGGCAAATTATATCATTAAAATTCCCGCAGCCGTCTGATTCAGTTTTTCAGTTCAGGAGTTAGTAGACAGATCAACTGCCTCATCATGACATTCTACTAACGAACCACCTAAGAAGATAGCTAGAATGATTTAAAGGTCATTTTTATTAAGCTCAATTTTGTTTAAATACCAGTTAGTAAGTAGGATTATCTACTCTAGTGATTTCAAAATGTGTAAATCCTTAAAAACAGTGGAGATAATTTGTAGCTCAGTTGGACACTATTAAGACATGGTGTATTCTCTGTGCTGGGCATTTTAATTGCATTAATTATTTCTTTAAAGTTTGACTGCTACATTTCGAAAGATAACTCACTCTTAAAATGTACATTCATAGTACATTGATAATATTATAAGACTGGATGAAAGCAAATGGTTTGTAAATCTTTTTTCAAATTTCTTGGGATCATTCGCTGCGTTTGATTTTGGCTTTTTAAATAATTTTCTTACTTGTATCGTTTTTAAATGACTAAGATGTTCAATGTTGTACTGACACTTTTTAATGTGTTCGGAACTCGAGTGATTGATGTCATTAGACTAGTTAATGTCTTATATATGTATAGATACTACTTTACGATCACTTTGGTACTGTACATTTCGATGTTTTAAAACTGTACAGTGTGTTGTACCATATTCTGTTCGTGTGATTAATAAAAACAGTAATTAGTAACTAACATGTATTGATTCATTGACTTGATTAAATGTATTCAGCATCGAATGATAATCATTTGAGTTTCTGTTGTTTAGATTGACCTCGTTCAGGATGCAAGAAATCTACTCTGAATATTTTCTAAACTTATTGATCACTACACGAGCAAATTCTACATTAACTAACACTTCTTTGGTTCGTTTGTCTTCCGCCCTAATAACTTATTTGATCCATGTGATGAACGTTATAAATCTATTACATTCTATATACTTTGAACACATACATATCATGAAGGAAATTGAGAAATGAATTGGCCAGACTTCTAGCATTGTGTTTGGACAGAATAAAAATGTAATTCACTAATTGAGTTATATTTTCATAGTTGAATTCACAAGTTGATTTAAGCTAGAACACTATTGAAAACCTGAGTCAGTCAGTCAGTCAGTAACCGTAGAACTTCGTACATACGTACATCAGTTCGAGTTGCCACACCACATTAGCACAGAGATGCAGTTGTCGATTCAAATCCCGTAGTGGTAGAGGTGGCAAAAGCATAAGCAGTAATCGAGAAGATTAGGGTTTGGAGATGTTATTTAAAGAGTATAATCCAGTGAAATAAATTTGGAAAGAGGAAAAAAGGGACATGAAGAATTCAGAAGATTAGAATTTGGGAGAACACAAAGAGTGTATGCACCTGCGCCATTGCAAACGATTTTGAGCCATTTCATTCAAGGTCTCTAACCATCGGTTGCTATCATCTCGCGGTCCCCAACGAGGTAGTCTACACCTACCAACATGACTCAGTCTACTTGTCAGTGACTTCATGGACTTGTGCCATGTTTTGGTCTCGCCGCCTCTAGCTCTCTACCAACCTACTCCTATACCACTGAACATCGCACGTGTAGACAATCATTTCTTTTTTTCTTTTCTTCACTTATTTCAAATATCTTCTTATCATTATTATCTTCTATCTAATAATGTTACTGTTTATTTAACAGTTACATAAAGATAAATAGAACATATTGTACTGCCCCCTGTGAAAGAAATTACATAATATGACATTTACATAAACACTACGAATTGAAAGAAAGTCAATTGATTCCCGTAAAACAATTTAGCCAATAAATAATAAAACAATGTGAAACAATAAAAAAATAGTTTAACTAGTCTAAATTGGTATTTATTTTTCTATAAAATCTACAAAGTTTATATTAGTGAATGTACATAAATTTAATTGTTAAATATACAAGAGTATAAGGCAAATCTTACTAGAAGATATAACATTTATCTGTTTTAAGTAGTAGCTAGATTTCATTTCCAAGTTTCAATTCCACACGTTTACATTAAAAATTCTGACTTTAATATTGGCTAACAACGGTTTTGCCATCCTTACCTAGTACCCGTTTCCTAACAACTGTGTTACTTATTCGATGGTCCCATGATATACGAGCAATGTTTCGAAGACACCTATGATCGAATACTAGTAACCTACGAATATCCTCTACTCTTATCGGCCATGTTTCACTGCCTGAAAGCATTGGACAATGGGTGAAGAGTTGCGCAAGATCATGGATCGATTGAAGTTTGATATTAACACCGTTGAATGTCGGCTCAGTAATCTGGAGGTTAAATGTTCACGTGCGAAACCGAAGTTTCTGTGTTCGAGTCCCCCGTGCGGGGTCGTGGATGCGCACCGCTATGGATTCTCACACGGCCTTCCAGTTCTTCCAGGTTTTTAGTAGTGATCTAGCTTACATCGACTTGTGAATCTAACTATAAAAATACTATAATCTCCACAAATCCCCATACTGAATTATATTTATTAATTAAAGCAGTTAATGTCATTGATTGCTAGCTTGTTATATCCAAATTTAACTATTGACCGAATAGTCAAAGATAACATACTTGTTATTGTAATTTTTCATGTCGTTTTGGTCAGTTATGATTTAGTGGTTTAAGTGTATAATAAATCTTTCATTTTAAGTCTTACTTTCCTTGTTTTCGTTGGTGATTATGAGTCTTTGTTCAATTGCAATAAGTAGCAAGTAGCAATTTCCCTTTATTCATAAAACGGTAACAGCATCGTTCTAATGTAAAGGGATTATACACTGGATATTAGATTAATAGATCACTAGACTGGGCGCTAGATCATGTTATCTGATCACATGATACAGATGACTCAATCATCCTACTGACGATCAAGAACCAGATTACATCGGAACTAAAGTTTTTTTTAACATACAGTTCAAAGTTGTCAGTAAGTGGAACTAAAATAGAATACAAGTTCAATGCTGCATAATAATACTGGATTTCTTCCTATATTTAGTATGGCTCAATATATCTGTCTGGTCTTATTCACTAATCACGCCTTAGTCTCACCGTATACATCAAAATAGTGTCGTAAATTTAGTCAGTCATTTACTAATTTAAACAATTATTCAATATGTACATGTTAATTCTAGAATTTTCAAATGAGAGCAATAGTTATTTTTTCGAATTATTTAAGCTACTTTATATCGTGGTAATAAATCTTATGCATTCTCTTTTTCATTGTTTACATCGAATGCGTTGTTGTTTTTTTTGTCATATTAAAGAGTAATTTTGGAGTTGATTTTGAAGAATTTCATTAGTCGCTTAACTATTTTTATAGAATAAACAAATAAACTAAATTTCTTCAGAAAATATATTTACTACTTAAAAGTCGTGTGTGATTTTACTAATTTTCATAGTATTGACAGATTCATCATGATGTTTGTGTTTGCATTTTTATAGGTATTAGTTCAATGCAATTTTGTTTACATCGTTAACTCAGTCTATAAGATTTCAGAGTTGAGTAAAAAAAATAGATGCTTTTATTATTAGAGATACATATGGAACATCAGGATTAAACGTAAAAGCAGTTGAAATATGTCTTCCATGTGTACTGTTGATAGATTATAACTCTCAACAATTGAATAGTATAGCAGTTGTCATACTAACATTACTTATCGATCTATCAAATGACAAGCTAAGAAGTTTTTTCTTAAACATAATACATCTTTCATATAAAGTTATTTCACACAAAAAAATAAACTGCCTGTTATAACCTGCTCTTTGCTATATAATTTAAAAATATCATCATAATAGCATACAAGATTTACTCCAATAAAAGCATAACTGGCCTAACTGAACTCAACGGAATGACTCTTCAACACTTTACCCTCACTATTATTGACGCAACACTCAACTAGTAAGAAGACAACCTGGTTCGTTCTGAGAAGATTATATATATATATATATATATACTAAATTATAATAACGTTTAGCGAATTTCATATTAGTTAAGTGCTAAACCTGAAATAATACTGAAATAACTAATAACTGAAATAGTCAGAATATAATTGAATATTGCACAGAACGGCTATCAGCAATCAGTAGTTTTACTCTTGTTTGCTTTCTTAACATCTTCCTTTGAAAGAGTTGTAAGATTTCGTTCTTTTTTAAAGTAAAATTATAATACCTTTGATTTTCTTTGTTTTTATGATGATCTTTTTCACAAATCCTGTCCCAGTTTCCCCAGATCACTAGCTTCAGGAGAATCATTTGTATATGCGGTCTTTCTAAAAGACTAGATTACCTAGATATGTTAAATACTATTATTTGATTAAAAACTGTTACTGTTGCCTACTTGTGGGCATGCTTTTTCTTCGATATAAATCTCATAATTTTTATGGTGTGCATCTATTCAAGTCGCTTTTAATAGTTAGTGATTGTTTATGCCACTCACTAACATCCATCGACGTCTTGGACGATGGGCAGAATTCTTCGAAGGGCAGTCCAACTGGCCTACTGCTCCGGCAACATCAGTCAAATTGTCTTTATATTGAGGAAATCTGCTTTTTTAACATCTGTTTTTTCCATATTTGATTTTAGGTAGCGGTATTCCTGAAATCAAGACTATTCTAGGTGGATTCATTATACGTGGTTACTTAGGGAAATGGACTCTTCTGATAAAATCGATTGGTATGATTCTTGGAGTAAGTGCTGGTTTAAATCTTGGTAAAGAAGGACCCATGGTTCATATGGCTGCCTGTGTTGGAAATATATTTGCACATTTCTTTCCCAAATATGGTCAAAATGAAGCTAAAAAACGGGAGGCAAGTTTTCTAAGATAATAGCTGTTGTGAAATAATATTTTACCAACTTGTTGTGGTCTATGTAAGACAGTTGTCAACAATCGATATAAGCGATTAATCTAGGATTTAAGATTTTCAGCACTCACCGCTTACTGACTATCACTTAAACTCACCTCTACTTCAGTGGCTTGGAGATGTCTTCCTAATGTCGTCCCGAAGAATTTCACATCGTGCATTATTTTCCGACGCTGGGACTGGTTGGAAAAACGGAGAGGTGGTCAGTGTATGACATGGTGTCATGGTATGAAAGAAAGCTGTATAGGACTTGCTTTTGTTGCTACATCACAACTCCCCAATTTTGGTTCTAAAGATGGTGTGCACTTGAAAATAAACAAACTCAATTTTTTAATAATTAATCAAAAATCAGAAAAAGGTCATACGCTAATATGAATAAGCAAAACCATTTTTACGGTTATCATTATGATAAAGCAATTTACACTTATTAACAAAGATTAGATAACTCGAGACTATCTAATCAGTTATTACAACCAATCTTTGTATGATTTCTGGCATTAATTCAGTTCAAAAAGTCAATAATATCTCACAAAATACAATGTAGAGTGTAATGACAAAAAAAACTTGGATGCGTTTTCAAAAAAAAAAACAACCACAATACTATATCATACAACGTAGCTGCCCTCTTTGCTTACGTGAACAACCATTAGGTATTCGATCTGATGACGTTTATTAGCTTATGTCTGTATGTAATTGATTGTACGCTCTGAAATCAACAGGGGTGTCATAAGTCCAATTTTCAAACTAACGGGATGTAATATACTTGATAACAATATCATAGGCCGTCTCAGTTTAATCTACTCTGAGTTTTTGTTTAAATACTAAGATCATAGTTGTTATTAGCGACCATTCTTGTTATGTATCATTGGACAAATAGTTTCGTTTCTACGACAAAATTCTAATAACTCACTTTTTCAAAATGATTTTTCTGATATTATATTTTGAAAGAGCGAAAAAGGCATCATCAGTAAATCGCCTACCACAAAGAAATTTTAACCAAAATTTTTTTTCTTGGGTTTGCTAAGCCACTATCGAATTAATTATGGGCTAATGAGATAAAATCTATTGGTTAATATACGCAAGATGCTCTTCAGAGATATCTGTTCCTCTTGGGCTGACCTGCGTCAACACCTGAACTAAGGATAGGGAGTTAAGTAATCAAACGCGTCGACAACTTCACATATCTTGAAAGTCTGGTCAGCACAAATGGGTTGGTGTCTGAGGAAATCTTGTCACAGATTCAGAAGGTTCGTTTGGTTTTTGCCAACTTACGTCACCTTTGGCGAGGGCGAGATATCCGTCTATTAATAAAAGGACGAGTATACTGCGCGGCAGTTCATTCTGTTCTACTTTACGGCTGCGAAACGTGGTCATTAAGAGTAAAAGATACTCGTAAGTTACTAGTATTTGGCCACAGCTGTCTTAGCAATATTGCTGGGATCACTGGGTAAGTAATAGTGAGGTTAGACTTAGGGTATTAGGGAATGATGGTAAATCAGTTGATGAGGTTGTGAATCTTCATCGACTGAGATGGTTGGGCCACATGTTGCGTATGCCTGAACGCCGATTACGACGATGTGCAATGCTGACTAGTGTTGGGGATGGTTGGAAGAAAGTTAGGGTTGGCCAAACCAAAACGTGGCATCAGTGCTTGAAGTCACTAACTTGTAGTCTGAGCCATGTTGGTAAGTGCAGACTACTTGGTTGGGGTCAGCATGATTATCGAAACAAATAGTTAGAGATCATGGGGGACAGCTCAGCCTAGATCACAATGGTTTAGGTTTATACACTCTTTGTCTTCCGTTAAACTATAAGATCGCTTCATATCTTTCTTCCTGTATTATATTCTTATATGCAGTATTTTTATATATTACCACCATTGAATTAACTGCTTCTATGAATCCAGTGTTCGTCTTGCTGTGCTAATGAGGTATGGCAACTTGGACCGATGCATATATGTACCTGGTCCTACGTTGTAGCTAACTGACTGATTGACTGAATTTAATTTACTCTAAGCGTCACATCAAAGTAAAAATTGATTGATCGATTGATCTGATGAAAATTGTTTGAATTTTTTTTGTGAAAATTTTTGTTGTTTTGAAGATAGTTTGAACCGCTATAAATTTCTTACCAAAGGTTTTTTAAGTCTCAACTTTGATCTTTTAGTGTAGACTGCGAAAAAAGTCAATCAGTCATAGTCAACATAGAATCGGCCACAAATGTTCCCTGACCCGAATTACCCATATCACATTAGCACAACGGGATAAAATTAGCCAAATGTATAATGAAGGGATCGAATTAATATGATAGACAGAAATAAAAGATATTTGTCAAAAAATACTGGAACTTAAGATCTCAAGGAGGATAAGGAGTGAATCCATCCGGACTACTGTGCTCGATTATGAGCCATCTCATTCAATGCTTTCAAAATCTGGTCACGTTTACTGCACCGACCCTATTCAGGTAGTCTGCATCTACAAAAAATACATGTTGCTGATTGTCTTTCGATCTTAATTGTTTAGTTCTCAGTATTCTCCTAATGAATATCACTTCGTAGTGAATATTATTATTAGTTATCATCATTTTTTAAACTAAACAAGTTCCTTAAAATCAAACTTCATTTTACTGATTTCCACTTATTGTTGTTATTTTTACTTTCTGGTTCTGCTTCTTTTTTCCCTCCGAAATACTAGATCCTTTCAGCTTCAGCAGCTGCTGGAGTTGCCGTTGCATTTGGTGCGCCAATTGGTGGTGTTCTTTTTTCACTAGAAGAAGCTAGTTATTATTTTCCAATGAAAACAATGTTTCGATCGTTTTTCTGTGCTATGGTATCAGCTAATGTTTTGCGTATTTTAAATCCATATGGTAGTGATAATATGATTATGTTCTATGTCGATTATCAAGCACAATGGCATGTGATGGAATTAATTCCATTCGCTTTACTCGGTTTACTTGGAGTAAGTTGTCTGTAATTTCAGTCTATGGCTACAAATATTAATTAATTTCCATTTTGATTTTTACACATGATTATAGGTAGTTTAATTCGTTATTTCTTGCCATTTAGAAGAAAGGAACAAAGTAAATACTAAGTCGACGATACATGGTCCTTTTGTGAGAAAGTTTTGGTGTGTAAGCTCCGTACCTCAAAAGGCCTTACCATGAAAGGCAGAAAATTCATGGGTTAAAATGGAATAGACCTTTTCTAATTCTCGTTTTTTATGAACGGGGATAGCATTACTTTAGGTGCTAGTTGTCTGGAGTAGACACAACTTGATACTATCAGTTGTATCATTCTACATTCGGACCGTGGGTTTGGTGCTTTTATTACTACTGTTAATCAACCAACCTGCTTGTTAGTATTACTTAAAAGAACAAGTGGTACAATCTATGTAGCTGGATTTTACTATTATGACACGAGAACCCAACCACTACTTAAAAGTGGCACTTACAGTTGTAAAATGACGTAAACTACCGTAAAGCTATATAAACAAAACGAATGCTCTTTATATCTCCTCACCACCAATAGGTATTCGGATTGTAATCTCCGTTAATTGTAGCTAGATTTAAATAGATGGATTAAAAAATATTTTCTCATCAGTCTTCGTGTCAGATGATATTTTCACTAATACATTATAGTCTACACAGAGTTGCAGATCATTCTCATTGTCCTAATTACTTCATGTTTATATACGACACGGTTATGTGTGGGAAACGTACTTACACCTGCTACCCCTCGTGAAGAAGGACTATAGAATTTCTTCATTGTAAGCTTAGCTCAATGGACAGCTGTTCGAAGTTGGCAATATCCTAACCTTATGGAAATGATAGTTCTTTTTATTATTTTTATTATTTTTCAGATCTTACCTTCACACCGAATATCTTTCGAGTTATAATTATGCTATTTTTAAATCTAACTTTTATAATACTTCCTGTTTGTATAAGACACGGCTATGTGTGGGAAACGTACTCACAACTGTTACCCCTCGTAAAGGAGCATAGACTGCTCATCAGCATTCTCCATGCAACTCTGTCCTGAGCAATCCTTTCCAGTTGTTATCCATCCTTTTCATGTCTGCTTCAAATTCCCCGTATAGTGTGCTCTTTGGTCTTTTTGTTTTCAGTTTCGGTTCAGAATTCCAAGTTAGTCCTTGCCTCGTGATGCAGTTTGATGATTTGCCTAATGTGTGTCCTATCCATTTCCATCGTCATTTCCTAATTTCCTCCTCAGCTGGAAACTAGCTTGTTCTCTCTCACTGTAGGTTGTTGCTGATGGTATCCGACCAACGGATATTGAGTATCTTATGTAGACAATTGTTTATAAATACTTGTACCTTTTTGATGATGGTTGTAGTAGTTCTTCACGTTTGAGCTCCGTACAGTAGAACTGTCTTGACGTTCGTATTGAGAATTCTGACTTTGATATTGGTTGAGAGTTGTTTTGAGTTCCATATGTTCTTCAACTGTATGAATGCTGTCCTTACTTTGCTAATCCTCTCCTTTACGTCTGCATCCGAACCTCCTTGTTCATCGATGATGCTTCCCATGTATGTGAAGGATTCTACATCTTCCAGAGTTTCGCCATCAAGAGTGATTGGATTGCTGTTCTCCGTGTTGTATTTGAGGACCTTGGTTTCCCCCTTGTGTATGTGGAGGTCTACTGATGCAGAAACTGCTGCTACACTGGCTGTATTTATTTGTAGGATGCTAGAGTTTCTCAATGTGTGATTTTGTTGTTGCTGTGGTTGTTGTATTTGACGATGTTGCTCTTTCACTTGAGTATCTTGATACCTACTGATGCAGTGGCTGCTGCTGCATTGGTTGTCTTCATCTGCATTTGTTCGTGTGTATGGGATAGGTGGTGTTCTATGTTATCTGCGAAGTCCAAATCTTCTAATGATTCTGATCCGTCCATTGTATTCTGTGCTTCACTTGAGATGTTGAGGTGTCTATAATCCAACCAACCACCGTAAGAAAGAGAAAAAGTAGGAGTAAGTGTGTTTATCTTACTCCTGTTTTCACTTAGAATGTATCTGTCAGCTGTCGAACATGCACGACTTTAGAGTGTAGTCCGTCGTATGAATTCCGGATGATGTTGACGATTTTCTCATGTTCATCATACTGTTGAAGAAGTTTGCATACTGTTTTCTTATCCACACTGTCAAATGCTTTCTCACTGACAAGGAATTGAATTTGAGTGATTGGCCTGCCTTCTTTGTCTTTGACCGGTCTCTCTGGTTTACTATATTTCCTTGTTGTTTCTTCATTGTATCGTAAAGCTGTTTCATATTTCCTTTTCTTGCAACTTTTTTCGCCGTCGTTGCTAGTTCTTCCACGTATTTCTGCTTGTCGGCTTTAATGCTCTTCTTCCCTTGCTTATTTGCTGCAGTGTACTCAACTTGTGACTTAACCTTTTCCACCCTTTTCCGGCTGTTGTTAATTTCTGTCTTCCTCTTCTTCCCTTCTTGAATCTTGTCCAGGGTTTCCGTAGAGATCCATCCCTTATGATGATGTTGCTTATGGCCCGGAACCTCCTGACTAGCTGAAATTAATGCTTCTTTGATACTTTTCCAGTTTCCCTCCATGGTAGTTTCTTCTTTCAGTAGATCTTGTAAGGCTTGGAACCTTTTGTTGTGAGTTATTTTGAATTCAATGAGTTTATTAGTATCTTGAAGGAAGCTGTGTTGAGCCTTTATAATGCTGTTCTTCCAGCTGTCCACTGTTCCTTTAGCTTCAGTTTCATCTTAGCCTTGAGCATTTGGGCTACCTGTTCCTGCCATCTAGATATTTCAACAAGTTATCTATTTTTGTTTGTTTTAATATATCATCATGTTTATTAATCGCATGACCTATTCTGCTGCGTTTCTGAAAAGTGTACAACCTTTCGTTGTCAAAGTTACAAAAAACTCAATAAGAGACAATATGGTTGCTGGCAATATGCAACGAAAAGAATGCACATTATTCAGATGTTCATTTACCGGACTGCTAACATCTAACTGGCGATCACTCAATATTTATCGCCAGGACCGACCAAGAAGAAAGAAACGGAAACTTGTTGAAATACTTTACGCTGAGAACTATATTGTACCAAAAATATAATATTGAATAAAGCTAATAATAATAATGATAATAGCCATCACCAGGTGATGATCTGAATCTATGTCAGCTCCTATTCTGGTTTTCATATCTTCCATTGTCATTCGGAATTTTTTATTGATGCAATTATGATCTATCTGGTTCTCTGTGGTGTAGTACGGTGAGATCCATGTAGCTTTATGTATACGTTTCTGTGGAAATATTGTGCCGCATATGACCAATTTGTTGAATGCACACAGATTTGCAAATCTTTCTCCATTTTCGTTTCTCTGTCTCAGTCCATGTCGTCCCATAATATCTTCATATCCGGTGTTGTCTATTCCGACTTTGGCATTTAGATCTCCCATCAGAATAGTTAGGTCCTTCCTTGGGCATTTCTCAATGATTGACTGTAGCCGCTCGTAGAATTGATCTTTAATGTCGTCGTTGCTATCATTGGTGGGTGCATATCATTGGATAATATTCATTGTGATCCCCGCCTTCTTTGTTTTGTGCTTTGATGATTCTGGATCCGTGAGATTCCCATCCTACAAGTGCATTTCGTGCTACCTTGGACAGCATTAGAGCGATTCCCTGAGTATGTGGAGCATTTTCCTCTTCGTGACCGGAGTATCTAGCCTTTGCTGTCCAGGTTGGTACAATGGGTTTCGCTGATTCCCAGTACTGCCAAGTTGTATCTCCTCATATCCGTTGCTATTCAACTGGTCTTCTCGGTCTCCCATATTGTTCGGACGTTCCATGTACCTACAAAAATTTTTGCTCTAGTTGTTAGAAGGGGCATCGGCCTCGACTTTCACCATGAAGCGCCATATTTCTTCTAAATGAAGACCTTCTAACTCCCAGGCCAGAGTTTAAATGGTTTGAATAACTTTTTCTGGTAAGCGTTTTTTTAGCGAGTTAGTTTTCTACGGGATGGGGTCGCTAACCCCATGCCCAATCCTCCTGCTTTACCAGGGCTTGGGACCGGCAGTAACTCTAGAAGAGCTACAGGCGGAGTTTGGAAAACATAAGCTCTGTACATATATCTTAAAACGTCGAAAACGTGATACTATTGAGTAGGTAGTATACTTGTAAAAGGTTCAGGGTTGCGTCAATTCATTAAAATCTCCAGTTTTGTGCATTATTTAATTATATTGACTTGTAGAACTCGTGACTTATTGTTTTCAACCTTCCCGATTATGATTCTCTCAAAAACATGGTTAGAGTTAGTTTCAATACATTTCAGTCATTACCATATTATACTGTTATCATTCGTTTAGGTCAACGTATCTTTGAGATTTCGACAGTCTCATTTTGAGACTAATCAGTATTTTTCCAACCTTTCTAGAAGACATTATTTAGTTATTTTTGTTTCTGAATTTTTAAAAATTCTTTATTTATATAATAATAATTTATATATTACAGGGTATTTTTGGTACAGTATTCAATCGAGCGAATTTGTATATCTGTCGTTTGCGTAAAACCACCTGGTTAGGTAAATATCCTGTTCGTGAGGTACTTATTGTTGCGCTAATTACGGCTGTTCTTTCATTTCCACATACTTATCTTCGTATGAATACCAGTGAACTGATTAAACTTTTAGTTAGTCGCTGTTCTCCAGGATCTGATTTCTCTCTGTGGTAAGAAGACAAATTATATTTATGCTTATTGACATGATACTTATTGGTTATTTATTTATTTATTTATTTGAACACATAAATATTGGTACAAGAGAGCGCCAACATATATGCGCCACACAAAACAATGAGAATTCGAAGAGAAATAGAAAAAAAGAGCTAAGGAGCGCAAAAAAGAGAGAAAAATACCGAAGAGATTGGTGTAAGGTAGTGTGGTAGTAATGAGGGAACGCAAAGGTACAATCGGAAGAAATCTTTCAGGTAAGGGAGACACAACCACTTCTTATGAAGAAAGTTAAAGAAGATTACAGCAGGATCGCCACTGGCTTCTATTCTGAGCCATATCTGATAACGTCTCTAGCCACTGTGTAGCACCATCTCTCGGACGCCAGCCAGGGAGTCGTGAAGGACCAACACAAGCCAGTCCTTTGCAGCTTTCTTTCATGCCACGACACCATGTCATGCACTGACCACCTCTCCGCTTCTTCCAACCAGTCCCACAGTCGGCAAATAATGCACGACGTGGAATTCTCTGGGACGACATTCGTAGAACGTGTCCAAGCCACCGAAGTCGATGTTTCAAGATGGTGACACCAATTGAATTATCATCTCTGTGCCCGAACACACGATGCCGAACCTCTGCATTACTGACATGGTGTTGCCACTGAATGTCAGCAATCCTTCGGAGACAGCGATGATCGAACACAGAGAGTCGTCTAACGTCCTCAACTCGAAGAGACCAGGTTTCACAAGTATAGAGCAGAACTGCTCTCACCGACGCGTTGTAGATCCGACCTTTTACAGTCAAACTAACATCACGAAGGCGCCAAGGATGGTCCAGATTAGCATAAGCCGCTCTGGCTTTCACTATACGTGCATTGATCTCATCACTCACACCCCTACCAGCACTTATGCAGCTACTCAGATACACGAACTTCTCGACTACTTCTATCTGCTCACCGTCCAGGGTGAGTACAGGATTAGAATCCTGTCAGTCTTGTAGAATTAATTTGCACTTCGAAGGTGCAAAGCTCATACCGTACTTACGGACACCGATTGCCAACTGATTAAGTGCGGATTGCATGCCTTGGGCATTATTGCACAGTAAGACAATATCGTCCGCATACTCAAGGTGGAGAAGTCTTTCTCCAGGCAACAGATCCACACCACCATTACTTACATTCATCAGAGCTGTTTCCAGAATGTCATCGATGGCAAAGTTGGAGAGGAATGGTGAGATTGGGCAACCCTGCCTAACCCCACTGCTTGAATGGAACAATGGAGAGAGGTGGTTGTATGCCCTCACTCTGTCTGAGGTGTTTGTATATATGGCTTTTAGGATGTTAATAAACTTCTCAGGCACACCCTTCTTCAATAGACAATTCCAGAGAACAGTCCTATTCAACGAATCGAAGGCAGCCCTGATGTCAAGAAACACTACGATTGTTGGCCTTTGATAAGTATGGAGGTGTTCTAACATTTGGCGGAGGGTGAAGATATGATCAATACATCGTCGACCAGAACGAAACCCAGCCTGCTCCTCGCGAGTCAATCTTTCTTGGGTTTTGAACAACCTACGAAGTATGACGGAAGACAATAGCTTGGACGCAATCGGAAGTAGACTTATCCCCTGATAGTTGTTACAGGAACGACGTGAACCCTTTTTGAAGATAGGGACAACTATCGACTCATTCCATGACGTTAGTAGACTCTCTAGTTCCCAAACCTTTGTAAACAACGTCGTCAATTCCTTAGTCAAAATGTCACCATCATCTTTAAAAAGAACCGGAGGTAAGTCATCTGGGCCAGGTGATTTGTAACGCTTCAAGAGTTAGAGTTCCTTGCGGACTTCCTCCTCGTTTGGTGGATCAGTCGTCACCGTCCATGTAGGGCAGGACAGTCTGACCGATGTTGTCGAAGCAGCAGGCCAGTCGAACTGCCCTTCGAAAAATTCTGCCCATCGTCCAAGACGTCGATGGATGTTAGTGATTGGCATCCCATCATCCTCGCAGATTGTTTCACTTACACCAGACTTCTTGCTGCCAGTGGCTCGGATGAGTTGGAAGAGCTTCCGGTAGTTACCAGATGCAGCTGCTGCTTCCAGCTCATTAGCACGCTTCGACCACCAGGCTTCTCGGTCCTTACGCAGGCTTTGCCCAATTTCCTTACGTAACATCCTTCCTCTGTGGTCAAACTCACGGTCACCCGGAGTAGACCGATGGGCTTCAATGAGTTGTAAGGAACCAGAAGAAACCCAGTGCTTAAAAGCGGGACGTTTCGCAAACCCACAACTGACTGTTCCCGCCATTTTCATGGCGTCATGCAATTGCAACCAATGCTCATCTATACTTTTCGGTGGAGTGGTAGCTAGCCTAGAGGCTAGCTCGGTTCGATACTTGCTTGCAACAGAAGTTGCAACCAGCTTGCTAATATCAATCCGTTGATGGCGGTCACTTCGTTGTCCACTGAAAAGTAAGGCAAGATTGGCGCAGACCAATTCACTAGTTTTTTTTACGTCAATTGAATTTCATCCTATGAGATGTATTGTTTAACTGTGAAACGTCTATTGTCCTTCTCGATAACACCAGGCTGAACATATATCTGAAGTTAGTTCTGATTATGTTGTCTAGTAGGACAATAGACAGTTCACAATTAAACTTTTGAGCTCACCAAAATCATCAACCTGGGTCACAAATCCTTTTCATCATCTCAAAAAAATCAACTCAGATTGCTTCAATTAATTTTGTTTAACCAGCTGCTCCATATGACTGATAGTAGTCGTTAGCGAACGTTATTCATTAATAATCCACTACACGCAAATTAGAGGTTTAATTTTATTCAACTTTCGGGTAATGGTGAAAGTAGTGGTAATGTATAATTTATTACCGATGTAAAAATCAGAATGTTCAGGTATTTTGTTAGTTTTAATAAACGGTGTTTACTGTTTTGTTTCACCTTGTTATTTTGGAGACTTCTTGAATTCAGTAGCTGCTCACGAATTCTCCCAATATTGAATTCAAGACCATCAAGATTTGTATAATGTTCCGGTTAAACCTTCAAGATATCTGGAAAATAACTGTAGATAATAATGTTATGTCTTGATATAGAATAGATCGGACGTAATCCAGGACGCCCGCTTCATCCTGTTCGGAACTCGTCATCTGGATGTCCCTACATATATATCTTAATTGGGTATTGAAATAAATATTTGCAGCCTCTGGTTTTTTGATTTCTCATATTTTATTGATTAGGAACGTTTAAACTTCTACTTAGCAAAAAATAAAACACACCTAAGGACTTTTACTTCAAATTTATTCCTCTCAGCAAACGAACCGTTTTACTTTGTCAACTTTACAGAACTAAAGATAGTAAGATTCGTAGCGGTTGATCGTAATCGAAAAATTCTTTCTACGATTTATTTAAACGCGATTGTAATACATAGCTTGCACGTAAAGTTTTGGACGTTTTCAGTCTTCTTTCTCATACAATGAATCATCTTGACAATCTTTTCTCAAATAAGAACAAACAAACTTCGCATAGAATGCATTGAATTTCTTTCATTTTGTATGTTCTCATCATTTTTCACACCCATATACATTAGCTAGTTTTTATCAATAAGATACTTTACAATTATGGTTTACTGGTGGAAAGGTGTTTAAAAAGCAATTCTGTTTACTGATAAGAGATTAATCATTGATTTTCTCGTACAATTATATAAACTGATATATATATATATATATATATATATATATATATATATATAATATCACATGGCTTACAACACACATAGAATAAATACTTTTTATCAAACAATAGTTGTTGTTCTTCGTGGTTACATGATAACTCATACTTTAAATTGCAAGAAATACACCGGTCACCAACGTTAGGATGATTTAATTTTCTTTGTAATTAGTAACTAGTAGTATACCGTTGTATGGTCTATTACATCTCTGCTCAATTCACAATTCTAAATGGTTTTAAAAATGTGATAATTGAGATTTTGAATAACAATACTGGTTCTCTACCATCCTGAGGTTTGAATACCTTTGTAACATTTCTCTTTTGATTTCTGTCAGTAAAATATAGGTCTAAACTCCGTTTCTCCTGAAACAATTTAAGATGCTTGAGTAGTATTGTGGTGTGTGCTACTTATATTGACATAAGTAGTATATGATGTTAGTCGTGAACAGAAGGTCTGGCAGCAGAGAGACAAGAGGATCGAACAGTAAAGAATGGAAACCGAATGCAATTTGTATGAAAATGCAAGAACAATGGAGTCTGAGTCATTTTGAGACAATTGGTGGACCTTTTGCAAATTAAGCATTTACTTTATGATTGTTGGATTTAATTACCGAGTCCCACCGGTGCTCTCGTTCCCTACAGTACGACTCACCGTTTAAACGAAAAAAATATTTCAGGACTAGCCTGTGTTGATGCGCATTATAACTTAAGAGGAGCAACCAGGGGCTTTAACCAATTCAGTTATCTTGGAAATGTTATCAACTCTTTTTTAAAAACCTGCGCCGCCTGTGGCGCAGACGATTTATCCATTTGTCACTCAGGCGGCAAATGTACTGTGCATCCCTCTCAATTATTCTGGTTCGGGTGGGACTAGTTTCAAGAATAGCTGAGAGTGGCGAGGTAACGGCGTGCCACCGATCCATTGTGACAGTGGTTGTTTTGAGAAGTGTTGCTGGCTACAGAACACCTGGTTAGGGGCCACACAATTGTTGGAGATCTTATTTGACTTTTTTTCAAAATCAGTCCCTATGTCACAGATGCGTTCATCATTATTTTATTTTAGGTCTTCAGTTTCAATGTTATTCCGTACGTTTTATTTTTCCATTTCATTTTCAACCATGAACTGTGTTTCATATTTCTTACTATCCATTATACCAATAGTGTTTAAACACTTTTACAAATCTTTGCTAACTTATTTCATTTTGAAATTAGTGTGGCAACTTGAGCCAATAAACATACACCTATTACAACTGGCCTCATCCGATGTCTCCAAACTAAGTATTACAAAACATGTACCAAGTGAATAATCCAGATTATTATTTATCTATCATGTCAATTTCTCATGTACTTATTTTTCATTTGCTTTAGAATGAATAATCATTTTTTATATCATGATATAATCGAAATTCTGCTTACAATCTCCATCTTTTGTTTTGTTTTTTCTCCCTCTTTTCTTCAGTGATTATCACTATAATACAAGCAATCCAATGACTAAAGTATATCAGAATTATCCTGCCGGACCATCATTGTCTACAGCAATGGTATTGTTGGCAATCGCATTGATTTTAAAACTTATTCTAACTGTTTTCACATTTGGTATCAAAGTACCGACTGGTTTATTTATTCCATCGTTAGCAGTACGTTTTCCCTATTTTGGCCATTTTTCTGGCAGTTATTAGTAAAATTGCATTGCTTTTTACTTGCGTAATCTAAATTAATGATCTTAGAATTATCTCAATTACGGATCCAGCAAGTTCCTAGATGACTTAGTAATTGATTTCCATACAACCACCGTCCTATGAATAAACCTTAAACTTTAATTCACTTGGTACTATTTTACTTGAATCTTCCCATTGATGTTTTAGGACTGAAATTGATCAGTCTCTTATTGGCATATGTGCATACTGTGCGTATGTCCTGGATTCCACTGCTAGCCACTATCCATCTTTGCTTATAATGCTTGTAAACCTTAAACTTTATTTCAAGTTTAGTTTGTGTAATGAGGTGAATCATGGCTTATTGTTTTCTTTTTTTCTTTAAATTGTTTAATTTCAATTTATTTTTTCCCTTTTAATATAATTCAGGCTGGTGCAATAATGGGTCGTATGTTGGGTATAGCTACTGAACAACTTGTTGTAGCGTATGCATCACATCCATTTATTGTTAAAATGTGTAAATCATCTCAACCGTGTATTAATCCGGGACTTTATGCTATGGTTGGAGCAGCAGCTACTCTTGGTGGTGTGACTAGAATGACTATATCATTAGTAGTAGTTATGCTTGAGTTAACTGGCGGGTAAATTTATTGTTACTATTTTGTTAGTTCTATTGTTATTATTTGTCGAAATGCTGATATCTGTTACTTGCTTACTTACTTTAATGAAATAAAGACTGATATTAATGACTGCAAATAAGGATAGTAAGATTGATCCAATAATTCATGACTGGTTAAAACGATATATACAATTATACTGACATGTATGTCATGAGTATTGAACTGGCACTGGTGTTGGTATTACTCAATCAATAGTTCATTCTATGCATACGATTAAAAAAATCCATAACTTAACTGTTTCAAATAAGATATATAATTAGTCAATTGTTTTCTTCTTGACACAACCGCATAAAAGTTATAGAAATTTAATTGGCCTATTGTGTCATTCCATGTAATGTTCTTTATTGTTATTCTATTCGTAGGGTTTGGTAATTAATTATGAGGAATTAGTTAGTTTTGTAGAGATTTCCGTATTTTTTAAGGTCTGATTTATTCTGGTACGAATTTTAATTGAAAACGTATTCCACTGATTTTGGATTCATCAATAATGCTATCTGATAAGTTTGTTCTCTATGGTGTTCATAATCTTCATTGTATTAACCCATTTTATTTAGACTAAGAGCAAGGATTTCAATAGGAAGTTTAACAGTATCTAGTCAATTGTATTTCACATAAAACACAAATTGATGTCACTTTTGATGTGTAAACATGGCTTTTTCTTCACTATAAATTATACTAAGTCAATTTTTAGTTCAAAAGTTGTTATCATCAGAAGTTGATATCAGTTGGTGAATGAGCGAAAACCATTAGGTGTTGGATAGAAGCTTTTTATTCTTCATTAATTCTCCTCAGTGATAGTGTCCTCTTATAATCTCACTGGAAGAATGGAACTTGCGACTTGCAGGTTTTTGCGACTAACATGTTACTTTTAGACAACCATATCAGAATCCAGTGATCTATGTGTCCGACTTTAGTCGATTTGCGACACTGTTATTATTGTCAATGGTTTTATTCAGTATTATACGATTAGTGCAGTATGGAACTCTTGTTACTTCTCGTGAAGGAGCATAGGCCGCCAACCAGCATTCTCCAACCCACTCTGTCCTGGGCCTTCCCTTCTAGTTCTATCCAATTGTTGTTCATTCTTTTCATGTCTGTCTTCATTTCTCGGCGTAATGTGTTCTTTGGCCTTCAGGATTCCAAGTGAGGACTTGCCTTGTGACACAGTTGGGTGCTTTCCTCAATGTGTGTCCCATCCACTTCCAGCGCTTCTTTCTGATTTCTTCCACCACTGAAATATGGTTTGTTCTCTCCCACAGTAGGTTGTTGCTGAAAGTATCCGGCCGACGGATCCGAAGTATTATGTGTAAACAACTGTTAACAAACACTTGTATCTTCTGGATGATGGCTTTCGTAGTTCTCCAGATTTGCACCCCATACAGTAGAACTGTCTTGACATTTGTATTGAAAATCCTGACCTTGATGTCGGTTGACAACTGCTTTGATTTCCAGATGTTTTTCAGTTATAAATATGCTGCTCCTGCTTTGCCGATCCGCGCCTTCACATCTGCATCAGACCAACCGTTTTCATCAATGATGTTGCCGAGATATGTAAAGGTTTTTACATCTTCCAAATCTTTTTGTGTGAAGTGTGATTGGATTGGTGCATGTTGTGTTGTATCGGAGAATCCTGCTCTTCTCTTTGTGTATATTGAGACCTACTGATGTTGAGGTTGCTGCAAGACTGGTCGTCTTCTGCATTTGTTGTTGCGTTTGGGATAGAAGGGCCAGATCATCTGTGAAGTCTAGATCGTCCACCTTCCTCCCAGCTGTCCACTGTATCCCGTGCTTCCGCACCCAGATGTTGACATCTTTATGATCCAGTCGATCACCAGGAGAAAGAGAAAGAGTGAGAGTAAGCAACCTTGCCTGACACCGGTCTTTACTTCGAACGAGTCTGTCAAATGTCCTCCATGCACGATTTTAAAGTTTAATCCATCATATGAGTTCTGTATGATATTGACTATCTTCTGAGGCACGCCGTAGTGTCTAAGAAGCTTCTATAGTTTTGTCCTGTCTACACTATCAAATGCTTTTACGTAATCAATGAAGTTGATGTAGAGTGATGAATTCCAATCAATTGATTGTTCCACAATGATCCGTAGAGTTGCGATTTGGTCTGTACACGATCTACCCTTACGGAATCCTGCCTGTTGATCTCGAAGTTGGGCGTTTTCGGAGTTCTTCATTCTGTTTAATAATACCCTGTTGAAGACTTTTCCTGGTTTTGAGAGAAGAGTGATGCCCGTGTAGTTATCACACTTGCTGAGATCGCCTTTCTTTGGTATCTTGACCGAAAGTTTTTTTTTCCAATCGGTTGGTACTTGTTCTTCATCCCAAATCTTGCTGAAGATAATGTGGAGTAATATTGCAGTTAAATGCTACGTCCGCTTTCAGCTCCTCTGCTGAAATGTTGTCTGATGCTTCTGCTTTTTCGCTCTTGATTTGATGATGGCCATGCTGATCTCTTCAATTGTTGGTGTGCCAATATCGACTGGGAGGTCTGTGTGTGTTGCTTCGATGTTGGGTGGGTTCAGTGGGACTAGTCGATTCAAGATTTCTTTGAAGTGTTCTACCCACCTGTTTCGTTGTTCTTCAATACTGCCTTCCTTACTTTTCACTGATCGTTCCCGTTTACGTTAATTCCCAGCGAGTTTCTTTAGCGTGTCATACAGTTGTTTCATGTTTCCTTCTCTTGCAGCTTTTACTGCCGTCGTTGCTAGTTCTTCCACGTATTTCTGCTTGTCGGCTCTAATGCTCTCCTTCACTTGCTTGTTTGTTTCTATGTACTCAGCTTGTGCCTTGGCTTTCTCTGCTCTTGTTCGGCTGTTGTTAATTGTTGTCTTCTTGTTCTGCCTTTCTTTGATTCTGTCCAGGGTTTCTATAGAGATCCATTCCTTATGATGATGCTTCTTGAGGCCCAGAACCTCCTGACACGTTGAAGTTAATACTTCTTTGATACTTTTCCAGTTGTCCTCCATAGTAGTTTCTTCTTCTTTCAGTAGATGCTGTATGGCCTGGAACCTATTACTGAGGGATATCTTGAATTCATTGAGTTTATCAGTATCCTGAAGAAAGGCCATATTGAACTTTTGTGATATTGTCTGCCACGTTGTCCAGTGCTTTTTAAGTTTCAGTTTCATCTTGGTGACCAGCAATTGATGATCTGATGCTATATCAGCTTCTCTCTTGGTTCTCACATCCTCCTCCTGAACTTCCTGTTGATTCAGATATGGTCAGATATGTGATGCAGCGGAGTCTATATAGTTTTGTGTATGCGTATATGTGGGAATATAGTGCCGCCCATGACCAGTTTATTGAAGGCATATAGGTTTGCAAATCTCACCATCTTCGTTCCTTTCTCCCAGTCCTTGTCGTCCCATGATGTCTTCATATCCAATGTTGTCCGTTCCAACCTTGGCATTGAAATCTCCCATCAGAATGGTCAGGTCCTTTGTTGGGCAATTCTCGATGATTGACTGCAGCCTATCGTAGAATTGATCTTTAGCGTCTTCATTGTAGTCGTTCTTAGGCGCATAGCATTGGATGACGTTCATTGAAATGCCCTCTTTCTTAGTTTAGAAGGAGGATTTGATGATCTTTGGTCCATGAGATTCCCATCTCATAAGTGCATTTTGTGCTTGTTTGGATAGCGTCGATGCAACTCCTTGCGTATGTTGAGCATTTTCTTCTTCATTACTGGAGTATAACAGAAGCTCTCCTGAAGCTAGTCGTTGTTGTCCAACTTGCGTCCGCTGTGTTTCACTGATCCCAAGCACTTCTAGGTTGTATCTCCTCATTTCTGCAGCAATTTGGAAGGCTCTCCTGGTGTTCCCACATTGTACGAACATTCCATGTACCTAAGTAAGTGGTTGCTCTGATTGTCAGAAGGGGCATCGGCCTCGTAACTTTCGAAGGAACTCGGCTCTCATCATGAGACGTCATAACTCTTCTAAATGAAAACCTTCTGTCTCCCAGGGTAGAGTTTGAAATGTTTGAATAATTTTTTCTGGTTAGCGTTTTTTAGCGAGTTAGTTTTCTACAGGATGGGGTCGCTAACCCCATGTTCAACCCTCTTCCTTCATCCGGGCCTGGGGGGGGGGCGTTACACCAGAAAATACACAAGGAGAAAGACGTGAATGGAGTTGGTGGTTTATATGCTATAAGACAACACTTTCAGAAGTTTAAAAGGTTTTAAATATCTATCTTTACCAACTGCTTTCAACACTCTCCTGAAAACTACGAAACGAGAAATAGTAGAGAATAACAGGTAATACACAAAAGGCAAATATCGAATAATATCAAAAGCTTGTAGCTCTTTTATATCAGTCGAACGGAAAACTTACTTCAATATCAATAAAACATAAGAAAACCAAATTGTTCCGTGTTAAGAAGAAAACAAGTACATGATTCAGTGATGAGTTGTATCTCTTAACTAAGACAGTTAATTTATTGGTTTTGTAAATTATATAAACACATCGAATTATTCTCACCCAATGTCGACTACTGCTCGCTCAAGACATTCAAAGTTACCAATTGACTGAATATTTGAAACGTTATATATTTCATTGTTATCTTTTTGATGTTGTTTTAATTAGCAGTTATTGAATAAAAATTTTTCCACCCACAGTCTCCTTGCGATGGCATAACAGTCTTGTCCGTCGTAGTAAGCAGCAGCTATTCCACAGTTATAGGAAATAGCCGCACCACTAACAACAGTAATCAACATCATACCAAATTATAATATGCTCTCAACATCCAGTATTATGTCACATGGGTTTAGTCCCTTGATGAATTATGAGTGTTTTAAACTAAAACGAATCAGTTTTTTACTGATGTTAATTTGTGTTGACAACACACTTCAAATTAAGCAAGATCCGTAAACATCCTTCCTTTTAGATGTTCTCTCTGCTAATATTAAATTATATAAGATGACACTTAATCAAAGATACCCTGCGTTTTAATGTATTTGTCGTTGTGGTATTTTAAAATTCACATCCATTCAAGATAACAAACAAGCGATTTCACGTTAAGCATCACTTCCTTCATGAATGTAGATACGGGTAGCTGATGCATGTCTACCTATGCGAAACCTAGATTCAAGCATTCCTGTTGACTACTCTTAACCAAATAATTTGGAAGCATATTGCATCAATCAATATAATCGGATTCTCCTATTTTTTGGATGATTAATCTGTATCAATTATTTGATTAACTTCCCCATAGGATAGAGATAACATGTCTCATTTTTTCATTTTCATTCTTCCTTTTTTTAAAGTTTTGTACAAATTAATTATCTCAGTTACTATCTGATCATGAAGGCAGAATATCATGCTGCAGGATTTTTTTTTTCAGAGTCATTAAATTTATTTATATCTCCTTATTCTTATTTAGAATGAAGCATAAGTTTAGACATATAGATGGAAATCTATTTGCCTACAACATACTTATTCTCTGATTGAAAATATTGTATCATAGAAATTTACAAGTGTTCAGGAAGTTTAATAATTTTCGTAGTTGATGATGAACAAGTGCATTAGTATTCAGTTAGTTAGTTTCTCATTTCAGTTTACTTTCAATTAGTTGGTTAGAAGAAATTTGCAAACTATATACAGTATATTATCTTGTTATATGTCATCCAAGGCATTGTTTCGTTTCATTACATATTCATGCGAATTATTTGAGTAGGCAGTTAGAAACAATAAGCAACCTGTGTTTATTGCATAACGGTTCAAATTGTTGTATCTTACATCACTATAGTTTTCATATTGACTTCTTTTTGTTCGTTTACCTTATCATATAACAGATTTTCATAATTCGAGATGGTGAATTTTAAACTTACTCCTAGATTGTTTGTTTCAATACTTTATGGGGCTGTCACTGTTGTACTCGTTCTTAAAAAGAAAGTATACTGATATTTTTTTCTCTACCTACTATGTTTAAGATTATTGATTATTGTCATTATGAGAGTGATTTTGAAAGTTTGAACAAATATTTTAATGACATGTACAACAGGAAGAAACTGGATTTCGCTTCATCATCATTCTTATTGTTACAACGTTTTATTCATTATTTCATTATTGTCTGTTGTGTATCTTGTGATTAACAATAATTATGTACGTTTTCCTTTTTCTTTTTCTATTAAAAAAAAAAAACAAATACCATTTTTAGTTTAAATTATATAATTCCATTAATGATTGCAGCTATGGTTAGTAAATGGACTGGTGATCGATTAACAAATGGTAGTATTTACGAAGAGCATATACGATTAAATGATTATCCATATCTTGGATCGTATGATGAATTAGATAATACATTAGTAGCAGCTGATGTAATGCATCCACGTAGGTGAGTATACAATTTTACTTTTCAAAGAATTTTTATTGTTCTTTATTTCTTTATTTGTAACTCATAACTTGATGATAATATTTTGATTGTGGCTAGATGTCATGGAGTAGTGTGAAGAGTGGGTGTTCGACTTTGAATTACTAAGTGTTAGTTTCGAGTTCCGCTGTATGTACTACAGTTCCAGGGAAGGGAGGCGTATCTGGATAGTATCACTAGCCCGTACACACAAACTATGGCTTAAACGAATTTTTACTTAGATAGATGAGTGACGTTTAATAAATAATTAGGATTCTGAATGCAATTGAAAATTCACTTACTGTAAAGATGATTTTATTAATAATAGAGTTACAGTTAAGGACGTGTGTAAGTAATCTTTTGTTTAATTAATTATTCAATTCATTTATCAGGTGAAATTTTTATTGAATCGGATTGATGTAACGGTATAGATTAATACTGAATATTTAGTGTCGAATAATTCTCTCATCAACTAATGGAAATAATTAACTTAGGTATCTTCCTTGTAACTTTGTTTGTTCTCGAATAAAACAGTCAATACTCTTGATTTAAAGATTTATTAGTTTCAATAAGAATAACTGATTAAATCAGCCATCATAATTTATGCATTTGTTGAATTTACGGTGAGACCATAATTTATGGACGACCATTGATCGACGCTAAATTGACCTTGATAATGTTCACCTACTAACCAAAAGTAATTGACGATTATAAACCAGTATGGCGAGTTATCATTAGGATTTATAAGTAATGGTTAGGGTAAGGAATAAGACTTGGGGTTTTTATCACGAACCGACATCAGCTAAAATGCCAAAACTCTATTTAACCAAATGGATGACTGAACTTCACGCCAAAATCCCATACCTGTTATCTTATATCTGATTTGTCCGTTCATAAATTATAATTTCGCCGAATTTACTAATCATTTTGAATGATTATAATCGTCTATATTTTATAAATGTATTGAAAATATTGGGAAATACTTTATTGTAAACGTGTCTATAAATCATGTTATTATTTGATAAGATTGATTGATAGTTGTATTTTGTTGTTATTCATTCAGGATTTTTTTTATGTTAATGAGATTTACTAGTCATGACTAGTGTATGCATATTTTATTGAATTTAGACTAACTGAAGTAGATTATTATTATTATTATTATTCAATGTATAATTAAGTGTACGTGTTAGAATACCTTTAATTGTACAATGTCTTCGTCAGTCTTCTGTTTTTATCTCCTTTTTTTCTATTAGACTTCGTAAGGAATTTCATTCATCACCCTGGCTAAAACATTTGGAACTAATTTGTGTTGTTCAGTCTATAAACATGAAACAGACATAAACAACTTAAGACCTAGTTCAAATGTGTACAAGTTATACATAACTATACTCAACACTAACTTGCCTTATAGTAGATTGGATGGAAGCTAATCTTGGTCAAACTAAAATGTGACATCAGTTCATAAAGTCACTGAGATGTAGATTACGTGAATTTTGTCAAACTAATGAAAAGATTGTTATCTTAGACCATTCAACTAATGTGCTATATTGAGATGAATCAATTACAACCATAAAGATATAATAATTTAAGTTGATAGCATAACATGTCTAGATCAATTGATTTTAATCGTTAACATTTATCATTCTTTTTTGTTTGTCAGTTATCTCCATTCTGTGGTATCAATAACAGCCTTATTACAATATTTATTGTTATAAATTAATTGAATTATTTGTTGAGTTTCGTTAATATTCATCTGTGATATTTGTATGAAATAATGATTCCTTTTTACTGATTGAATTCAAAATACAGTACATTGGTTTGTGTCTATCTAGTACTTCCTAATCCAATTGCGTTATTTCTGGTATTCTTAGTTTGTGCTATAATTAAAATACTATTAATTATCACACCATTCTTTCTGGAAAAATAATAAACAATGAATATTTGGTTGAAGTTTGACAAACGCGATTGGATATCAGTTCGTTAGTTTCAAGATTAAGCGTTTTCACGTAAGGGCGAAGGTCTTAGGTTCAATCCATTTTGATGGAGTCATGGATACGCACAGATGAAGAGTCCCATACTAGAACGAAATAGCTGTGCAGTACCTCCTTGGTTCCCAGTTGAGGTGTAACGAACTGGTTCATAATATCAAAAATGAATAAGCCAAGTATCACAATTTTCATTAAACTTATTGATAGTTATTTTTTTTACAGGTTAAAATGTTCTTTAAAGTATTAATACTGTTCCAAGTATGTAAATTGAATGGTTAGATACAAAAGTGCCCACTTGGTTAACTTTATTGATTGTTGTTGTAATAATTAATAAAGTGAATCCGAAATTTCAAATAAAGTAGGTGACGCTTACATGGTATATTCGGAGCAACGCCATTCAGATCCCGTCAACCAATAACTCTATTAACAATTACTTGTGATGACTAGCTGATTTCCTAATGTCAAAACATATTGAATTTATTTCATTGTAGTAATATTATAATAAGTCACTCGAATTTCGTAAGACTCCGCTTGTAGCTATTATAGGGTTACCGACAGTCCCACACAAAGGACAAGGGTCGTACATGGAGTCGGCAAGCCCATCCAACAGAAAAAATTCTGACATGAGAGTTCAAGAATCTTCATCTAGAAGAATTATGACGCCTCGTGATGAAAGCCCAGACTTTTCGCAAGTCACGAGGTCGATGCCACTTCTAACAACCAGAGCATCAATTAATATAAATACACGGAATGTCCGGACACTGTGAAAGACCAGGAGAACCAGTCAAACAGCTACGGAAATGATGAGATACAACTTGGTGCTGCTCGGAAACAGTGAAAACCATTGGACCCAAGCTGGACAGAAAAGACTAGATACAGGAATGTTGCTGTTGTATTCAGGTCACGAAGAGGAAAATACTCCACACACATTCAGGGCGTTACTCTGATGCTGTACGAGGAAGTCTGTGAAGCACTGGTAGGATGGGAATCTCGTGGACTCAGAATCGTCAGAGCATCGTTCGAAACAAAGAAGGAAGAGATTACAATGAATGTTATCCAATGTTATGCACCCACCAATGATAGTAACGGTGACAGTAAAGAACAGTTCTGTGAGAGGCTGCAATCAAACATATTGAAGTTCCCAATAAAGGGTGTCACCATCCTGATGGGAGACCTAAACGCCAAGGTCGGAATAGACAACATCGAGTACGAAGATATCATGGGACAACATGGATTGACTGGGAGAAAAGGATGGGAATGGTGACAGATTTGTAAATCTATGTGCATTCAACAAATCGTTTATGTTTGGCAGTATATTGCCCCACAGACGCATACACGAAGCTACTTAGGTCTCACCGGATCACACTACACAGAACTACACCAATCATATTTACATCATTGAAAAATCCAGAGGGTCAGTGGAAGACGTAACAACCAGGTGATGAGAGGAGCTGACAGTCTCAGATCACCACCACCTGGTGACTGCCAACATGAAACTGAAACTAAAGAAACAGTGGGCAGCCGGTGAAACAGAATTACAATAGTTGAGTGCAGTCTTCCGTCAAGATACTCACAAACTCAACCAATTCAAGATAGCTCTCAGACACTAGCTCCAATTCTTACAGTGTGAAGGCATTAGGACCTGACAATACACCAACTGAAGCACTTAAGTTAGACACAGAGGTAACTGAAAACATACTCCGCATTTTATTTAGGAATATATGGGAGAAAAACAGGTACTGACAGATTAGAAAGAAAGATACCTCATCAAGATACCAAAAAAGAGATCTGAGCAAGTGTGAGAATTCACCTACAGAGACATCACACTTCCCTGACTATAATAAGCATTTGACAGTGTGGATAGGAAAATATTATGGAAACTTCTTCGACACTATGGAGTACATGAGAAAATCGTCAACATCATCTGGAATACATACGACGTAAGCTGACATGTAAATGATGGGTAGCAACTGAAAAGGATTGTCCAGGAGAGTGTTGGATGGCGAATCCTGGTGAGCGGCCTAACCTCCTACACGAGGGTCAACAGGCCTAAGTAAGTAATAAACATACTATGCAACTTAGCAATTAAGTACACGTTTGTGCGCATGGTATCAAAGTAAACATATTTCTTGAGAACTAGTGATATTTCAATGATTGTTCAAACTGAAGTAGGTACAATAGAGCTCTAACATAGAAGAGGTTGTTTGATTGTAGATTTCCTCTTATCGATAAGCCTCTTTGCTAATCTTAATGTTATTTCCATTGGATATGTAATCAGTTTGACAAGATGACGTTCTGTGTCACCATGTCGCCTGATTTGCTGGTAAATTTTGTTTTTTGAAATTAGACCTTTTTGTTGTATTCGGGAAATAGCAACACGTCTATGTGCATGCATTTTCAATACGATTTCGTTATTGATAACGTCAATTAATTGACTTGTCTTATTCCTTTTTCCTTTCTCGTTATTGTCTATAATGTTTCCATCTGTTTTTTCAGAGATTCTAATTCCCCTCTATATGTTGTTACACAATATGATATGACAGTTGGTGATCTAGACCAATTGGTTAGTGGATGTGATGTCAAAGGATTTCCTGTTGTTGTTTCACAAGATTCCCCATACCTAGTTGGATGGGTTTCAAGAAGAGAGTTACGTTGGGCTTTGGGTAAGCTATTAGGAAACTATCTTTGAATTATTATAAAGTGTTTTGCTTGTGATTTGTTGATATCTACTTATATACGTTGATAGGTAAACGTTATTATGTTCAGTAGGTACAAGTAGAATTCCTATGTGATTTTTCTAAACCAATTTTAATTAAAAATCTTTTCGATTACCTAAATGTTTGTAGATTGATTGATGCAATTGATTTATTGTGTAAACTGTTTTTGTCAGAAGTGAATGTTGATTACGGAATTAATTAAATGTTGGTCCACATTAACCTCAAATAACGTTTTGTATTTAATAAATACTTATCTTTTGAATCCTTCGTCAGATATTTGTATAACTGATGACTGCTGATAGTTACAACTTGCAATATGAATTAATGAATAGTTGTAACTCGGATGGATGATTTTGATGGTCTTTCGTTCTCTGAGCTGGATGGCTTAGTCGTGAAACTTTCAGCAACAATTCAGTCAGAATTAAGTCATTCAAATACGAATTTTTGATGTTAACTGAATGAATGTATTCGTAAGGATGCGGTTTCGACTCCCATTTCGTTTGTAAATATCGTAGTGCTACAAGAGTTTAGTGGCGGTAACAAACATACACCTCAAGAGATACATTATCTTCCCCATGTTTGCAGCGGCACTTTGCTAACGAGTGCTAAACTGACTTAGAAACTAGATCTCATGTTTCCTTCCTTCTACCTCCAGCCAATCAACGTCATTACTTAAATAATTCTTCATTGAATAATTCTATTAATTGTAGTAGATACCTATCTCGAAAACATCAGTTTGTTTAAAGTGTCTTGTGTAGCTCAGTCAGTAAAACAGTGTATAATGATTAAAATCTAGTTGTGAATAGTCATTATCATCTATTATCCCTTTGACTAATTTTACTTGCAAATCAATTTTAAAACACCAATTGCTTACTTTTCGGGATGGTTAGGTGGGTGGATAGTTTTTACGTTGTTCTACTTGTCTGTATTTTTGTTTACTCATTTCTGTCATGGAACTTGATTGAGAAACAGTTTTTATTATATGCTCATCTCAATGGCTCTGTTTACCATAGATAAATATTGGTTTTACCTGTTTATCTACATAATGAATAGATCGTGAAAGAAAATATGATTCAAATATTGTCGATGATTCGCCAGTCCATTTTGCCACATTTCAGGAAGTATATGCAGATGATAATCAGGAATTGACACCTGTCAACTTACAAAATATTGTTGATTTGGTACGTTTTGTAATCTAATATCCCGTAATAAATTATTGTTATTGTTGTTGCTATTATTAACTCCATAGTTTACGATATGTTTGTTGGTTTATTAGTTTTCCAAATAACAGTAAAACCGTTTCATGGTGACCTTAACGTCCTATTTAGTTATAGTGTTTTTTCGTTATTACTTTAAAAGAAACGTGTTCCAGGAGGCATTTTATTATTTACTGGTCTAAATTATCGTATATATTTATGAACTCGCGTTCCCCTGTATCAAAATTATTCATATTTGTTTATTGACTGTATATGTTTTATAAAGTGTAGATGAACAGTTGGTAATTCAGTTTTTCCTGTTAAGTATTTCCATGATCAATTCTGACTGTTGTTTTGCAATACAAGATCCTACCACCATATTTCTCCTTTTTTAATGTCTTGTACAGTCCATCAAGCTAAACAGACAGGGTTTAGGAAACTATGTGATAAGCTAATAAATCGATTACCAGCCTGGACCGGCTATGAAAAGTCGACATTTTACTCATTTAACCAAAAACGATCACGGTTGTATATATCACTACATGTAAAAATACACAAATGCTTCAATTGTGATTAATTGTCTACAGTAAATTCTTTGTACAATTTATCTTTGTTTTTTACTTTTGGTGTTTTGGTCCAGGCAGTGTGTATCATTTCTAACTTATTCTAATTTCAAACCGTTTAATTGTGTCCTAACTCACTGTTATTGGCGATTTCTGTGTCCTTTTACCATTTAGTCTCCTACAACGGTATCGGATCATACACCGATGGAAACAGTTTTGGATTTCTTTAAAAAGTTAGGCCTCCGACAAATCATTGTTACACGTAATGGGTTAGTAAACGTTTTTGTTTTGTTTACTAAGTGTAATCAAATTTTTAGTAATTGTCAAATACTTCATTCAGTAGTAGTGGTAGACTTGTAAAAAACTGTCTAATTATCTTTATTATCGTTTCTACTTTTTATGTCTACTTAGTTTGTTGCCTTTCGTGTCAGTAAAATTCACAACGCGAGAGCGAATTTCATATGACATTCACATTTATTATAGTTACCTAGGATATAGTTAAGTTGAAGCGAAGCTGATCAGCAAAACGTAATGGTCTGCTTTCATAAGTTTTGGCATTTAGTCTCTGTTACACCTTCTACTTGATTAACGCAGTACACGATATACAACTAACAGCACTCGAACGTGTAGAACCCTCATAGTCCAAAATTAGAAGACAGATGAAGTGTTTGTAGGGTGAGAATTAAAAATATACAGAAAAATATGTGTATTTATAATTATTGGCGAGTTATAACTTAGTTCAACTGATGAAGCTCAATCGTCTCAAAGTGTACGAGCAGTGGTTTAAAGGCAAATATTATCGAATAGAAGTGACCTACGGATATCCTCTACTTTTAAAGGCCACGTTTGATAGCCATAAAGGTGAACGGAACAAAATACTGAGCAGTAAACTCGTCCTTCAGTTGGTAGATTAATATCTTGATTACGCTACAAGTGACGCAAGTTGGCAAAAGTCTATCAAGCCTTTTGAAACTATGTAGGGATTTTGTCAGAGACTGATGGGACTTCTAAGATAAGTGAAATGATCGAAACACTCAACTGCTCCTTATTATATCATTTGTTCTGGGGTTGACATCAACCATTTTCTTAAGTAACATTTCACATTTTGATAGAGAGAAATATATCCCAAACATGCTTGGATTAACGCTTGAGGTGTTCAGAAGACTGCGTTTTGTCAGTGTCTTTAGTAAACAAACTATGTCATCTGTCTATTTCAAATCAAAAAGAATTTCCTGGTAGGCGATCGACTTCTGATGAGTCAGACAATAAGATTGTTATCTCCAATCGATTATCTTTTACCGGGTTAAATAAAAATGGACGTGGCAAATCCTGATGGACAGTCAGTTAGTCAGTAACAACGTAGGACTTCGTATTTACATACATCAGTTCGAGTTGCCCTACCACATTAGCACAGAGATGCAGTTGTCGATTCAAATCTCATAGTGGTAGAGGTAGTAAAAATGTAAGCAGTAATCGGAAAGATTAAGGTTTGAAGATGTTATTCAAGGAGTATAATCCAGTGAAATAAATTTGGAAAGAGAAAAAAGAAAGGGACGTGAAGAATTCAGAAGATTAGAATTTGGGAGAACACAAAGAATGGATTCACCTGCGCCATTGCAAACGATTTTGAGCTATGTCATTCAGGATCTCTAACCATCGGTTGCTATCATCTCGTGGTCCCCAACCAGGTAGTCTACACCTACCAACATGACTCAGTCCACTTGTCAGTGACTTCATGGACTTGTGCCATGTTTTGGTTTGGCCGCCTCTAGCTTTCTTCCAACCTACTCCTATACCACTGAATATAGCATGTCGAGGTAGTCGGTCGTTGGGCATACGTAACACGTGTCCCAGCCATCTCAACTGATAAAGTTTCACTACTTCACCAATTGATTTGCCATCCTTACCTAGTACCCGTTTCCTAACATCTGTGTTACTTACTCGATGGTCCCAGGATGTACGAGCAATATTTTGAAGACACCTATGATCGAATACTAGTAACCTACGAATATCCTCTACTCTTACCGGCATAAATGACGCAAGTTGGCAAAAGCTAGTTAAGGCTTGTGTATCCGTGCTGAAATTTCGTTACATATCAAACCACTAGGGCTGATGAGACTCCTAAGATAAGTGAAGCGGTTGACACGCTCAACTACTTCACTCCCTATCATTGGTTCAAGTGCCGATGCAACCCAATCCTGAAGCAATATTTTGCATTTCGAGGTGGGAGAATTGCATCTCGAACACGCTTGTATTGTTGTGTACGGTGTTCAGAAGACTCTGTATTTTGTCAGCGTCTTCACCAAATAGAACTATGTCATCGGCATATTCTAAGTCAACAAGTGAACCTCCCGGTAAAAGTTGAACTGGAAATTTGGATGAGGAAACTGTTATCTCTAAAAGCACGTCAGCGACAAGTTAAACAAGAATGGAGAGAGTGGGCAGCCTTGACGAACACTACTTGAGGTAATCAATTCTGATGACAGTTCGCCATAAGCTCTCACTCGGCTAGTTGTATTCGAGTAGAGAGTCTTTACAAGGTTAATGTACTTCTTTGGTACTCCCCATTCTTGTTCAACTTTGTCATTGACGTACTTTTAGAGATAACACTTTCCTCATCTAAATTTACAGGGGTTGAACTTCTACTGGGAGATTCACTTGTTGACTTAGAATATGCTGATGACATAGTTTTATTTGGTGAAGACGCTGACAAAATGCAGAGTCTTCTGACCACTCTAAGCAACAATGCAAGCATGTTCGGCATGCGATTCTCTCCCTCGAAATGCAAAATGTTGCTTCAGGATTGGGTTACATCGACACCCGAACTAGTGATAGGGAGTGAAGTAGTTGAGTGTGTCGACCGCTTCACTTATCTTGGAAGTCTCATCAGCCCTTGTGGTTTAGTGTGTGACGAAATCTCAGCACGGATACAGAAGGCTCGATTAGCTTTTACCAACTTGCGTCATTTATGGCGTAGGCGAGATATCCGTCTATCAACCAAAGGACGTGTTTACTGCGCAACAGTTCGTTCCGTCCTACTTTATGGCAGTGAAACATGGCCGGTAATAGTAGAGGATATCCGTAGGTTACTGGTATTTGATCATAGGTATCTTCAAAATATTACTCGAATATCCTGGGACCATCGAGTAAGTAATGCAGTTGTTAGGAAACGGGTACTAGGTAAGGATGGCAAATCGATTGATGAAGTAGTGAAACTTTACCATTTGAGATGGCTGGGACACGTGTTACGTATGCACAACGACCGACTGCCTCGACGTGCTATGTTCAGTGGTATAGGAGTAGGTTGGAAGAAAGCTAGAGGCGGCCAGACCAAAACATGGCACAAGTCCATGAAGTCACTGACAAGTGGACTGAGTCATGTTGGTAGGTGTAGACTACCTGGTTGGGGACCGCGAGATGACAGCAACCGATGGTTAGAGACCCTGAATGACATAGCTCAAAATCGTTTGCAATGGCGCAGGTGAATCCACTCTCTGTGTTCTCCCAAATTCTAATCTTCTGAATTCTTCATGAATCGACAACTGCATCTCTGTGCTAATGTGGTATGGCAACTCGAACTGATGTACGTACGTACGAAGTTCTACGTTGTTACTGACTGACTGACTGACAAACACTGCCATAGAACCTCACGATCAACAGAGTCAAATGCCCCCTTAAGGTCGAGAAATACTACTATTGTAGAGCGTCTGAATGTGTGTCTATGTTCTAGAACCTGACGTAGTGTGAACATCTGGTCTATACAGCCACGTTCATTTCGGAAACCAGCCTGGTTTTCTCTAGTCTGCTCTTCACGAGGTTTGGTTAGGCGTCGAAGTATTATTGAAGCAAATATTCTAGACACTATATTAGTCAAACTGATTCCTCTGTGATTGTCACAAGAGGACTTTTGTCCAATCAGACGGGATTGCGTCCAGTTCCCAAATTCTACCTAAGACTTCAGTCAATCTCTCTTCTAAAACTGGACCGCCATCCTTAAAAATCTCAGGCGTAAATCTGTCAGGACCTGCTGTTCTCCCACGCTTCAAATGTCATATAGCTTTTACAGCTTCGTAAAGAGTTTAAGGACTTACATCAACTCTTCTTTTTAGTTCGACTAGAGATCTTGGGAAACTGAAGTGTGACTGAAGGCCAGTTGAACTGATCCCTAAAGTGTTCTGCTCACCGATCCAATCTCCTGAATAGAGAATGAATAATATGTCCATCTGTTTCCGAGATAATTTCTCTAACAGTTGGATTCCTAATAGCGGTTTCCTTGACAAGTCTGAACAGTTGTCTGCTTCTGTCTACTGTCACTGCCTTTTCCATCTCTCTTGCTTTCGCTACCCACCACTGTTCGCGATCATTGCGTAGGCTTCTTATCAGCCTGCGCTTAAGCTGACTCTGCTCTTCATCATATTCAGAGCCAGATGGGATGTGTTTTCGAGCATCTATCAGTGAGGTAGGTGCTGCTGAGATCCATTGTTTCTCCGTAACCTTCTGGTTTACCTTACTAGCAGATATCACTAATGTTTGCACAGGTTTTCGGATGTCATTGAACTCTGCCTCGTGGTGGGCATCAATCACATGGCTGCTTAACTGTTTTTCTAGTTGTTCCTGAAATATACTCTTAGCTTGTCTATCATTAAGTAGAACCCCAAGAGATTTACTTGCAGCGTCTTTCCTACGTCCAATAAGACCCAGACAGATACGCGCTCGTACCAGAGCATGATCTGAATCTAAGCATATGCTCCAGAATGAGCGACAGTCTTCTATCGAGCCCCTCCATCGGTGGCTGATAGCGATGTGATCTATTTGGGTCCAACGTTGGGACGAATTAGGGGGTCGCCATGTTAAAAGATGTTTTTCCTTATGCTTAAAGTTAATATTTGCTGGAAACAAGCGGTTATCTGAGCATAGCTGCAACAGACGGTCGCCATTATCTGTTCTTTGAGCCATGACACTATAAGATCCACCCAGGTGTCTTTCCTTTTTACTTAGTTTACCTACTTGAGCATTAAAAACATCAGCCACTATTACTACATCGGAGCACCTAACTTTTTTGGTGAGGTCAGAAAGCGTACTCTGAAACTCATCTTTTACCTTATTTGATCCGCAGTCAGTGGGAGAGTAAGCAGACGACAAGTGTCCCTATCATTCCGAGTCCTTACCGTTCCGTTTAATTGGATAGCGCAAAATAGACTGTCAACTGCGATCCAGTCTAAGAGAGCTAGTTCTACCGTCGGACTCAATGCTATACCTGCACCAACGAAGTCACGGAAAGCAGCATCAAGGCTTCCAGACGCACGAGGCGTGAATCGAGACGGTTTTTTGTTTTGATATGGTGAGGTCATATGAATGACGCTACCTGGACCCTGTATGCGCGTTTCGGAGACGCAGAATACATCGATGGCGCGAGATTCTAAATTACTAGTTAAGGAAGCCTGTTGTCTTATTTGGCACAGTGTTCGGACGTTAAAAGCTCCTACATATTGTTTAGAGCATGGTTTTAAGAGACCGGGAATAACGTTACGCGTACTCAAATCGTTTGCATTAGCGGCGCGAGGTAATAAGAGAACGTGAGAAGGGTTAGTCGTGAATATAAGAAAGTTATTCGGAAGTGTATGGAGGATTTGGTTGTGACCAACTTGGTCTCATGCGCTGCTACGGGTATGGGGCTTATGTCACTTACTGGCTGCCCTACCTCGCGGGAGGGTATTTCTTGAGAAACTTGAAAAAGAAGGTTGGATTAGTGTTGGTCTTAACGACTTGAAAGTGAGACTACAGAGTCCAAGGGACAAGTACTTGGGGCCGGACACGCTCGGCTTTTTTGTAGGAAGTTTTAACGTGTTAGTTCCGTTCTTCGAAATACTTTACCACCGGAGACGAAAATCTGTGAGGTAAGGTGAGGTGTGACATTTTTAGGGTCGACCTTTTCCAACCCTTTCCTTCCTTGTGAGTAGGCAGCATCGTTGCAGATGCTGATTGCTCGAGGGAAACACCTTACTACTGTCACACCCCTCTACATTCAGCAGTACGATTTCACTCTCAGACCTTGAGTTGCTGCTTTCAGTCTTACCGTTCTCCAATCGAGCTGCATGGCATGGTAGAATCTACAGAAACATATGTCCCAGCCAATATGGCTCGGTTAGGTTATCATGACAGGCATGCTTGACCACGACGTCAAGGTAGCAGCTACGGTCGGGACTGCAGTTAGATAATCAGTAATAAATAATGCTGAACGTCAAACTTAATGCAAGTAGTCAGTGAGCTAGTTAACATCCACTGACTGAGGTCAATTAAATTGCGTTATGCAGATGAAACCAAATTCTTCCTCGAAATATTGTGCTGCATAGTGTTCATATAGATTAATTAGAAGCTTTGAATTACTTGATTAATACTCAGTATCAATCACGCAATTGCTTTTATTCTGAATCTTGAAGTTAGGAACGTTCAAATAGGAAAGTGTTTGATACGACTGAAAACCCATGGTAATCTCACAAGTGCATCCTTTTTATACCTCGAAAAATCAAAGGGTTTTATCCAGCTTCATGCGTCCTAGTTTTTATACTCATAGCCTTATATTTTTACTATGTTTTTCTGTTTCACTCACCCTACATTTTATTGCTGGGAAGTTTAAGAACCTAAATCCACATAGTTTCATATTCGGTGTACTATCTGGATCCACTCACCAATCTTGACAGTCACGTCCATCATATTGAAATTGCCTTTCGTTAACCATCACACTATGGTATTACTCTATATTGAAAACTATTTTCAAGTTAATCAGTATTACTTAGAAACTAATAGTCTGAATGTAATATGTAAATGAAGTTTTGATTATTGTGAATTTCCATACATGCACTCTTACATTATCAGTGCAAATGCAAATACACAAAATAAAACATATTATCAGTAAATAAAATTCGTTCATTTTGAGATTCATAGCTCATTCTGTGACGTTAAACAATTTATCCTGTTTCGGTGCCTTCGAACATGAAAAAAATATATCACTTAATAGCATTTGGATTTCATCTTTTGCAGGAGGTTAGTATACCTAGTGGTTGGTTGAAGTATGGTGAAAAGCTGAGTTACATGACTAGTCGTTCATTAAACTGTATACGTATATACGCTATTTTTTTTAATTGTATTTCAATATGTTCGTTTCTGTGTTTCTCGCTTGATCTAGGTGTCCTCTTGGTGTATTGACTAAAAAAGATATACTTCGTCATGTTCGTCATCACAATCCAAATAATCGTTAAACAGTAACTTTTAACGTAACATTGTTAATATCCTTCCGGTTATCTGCCATGATTATTTTTTGTGCTTCTCTATACATAAAACACATGAGTATTTGTTCGTTTATTTATTTATTTGTCTCATTTAACGGATAAATTCCATTGGATTTTATTGCACATTATCCCTCCATAATCAGTCATTATATATAATCTGTAAAATCTTCTTAGAATGATTACACATTCTTTTCAAAAATTATCTACGAATGATGTATTCTTATATACGTAATGTATAATAAATGATCTCTCCTGTTCTATAAATTGTTATCAACTCTTTTAGAAAAGACATTATTCCAGTTATACCATCCGAAAATTATGACTGTTACATGAAGGTACATAGGTGGTACTGCTAGATGACATGAATGTTTGCATAGTTCGATGTGAAATTTCTTTACTGAGTAATGTTAGATGATGTGTTGTGACTGAGTTTAAGTTTACCCATACATTATTCAAGAATAATAAAATCTAGCTAAAGTACTATTTCTCGTGTGATTAAGCCAGAAAACGTTTCCGATATATTATTTCCTGGGATTCTACTTCTTATTAGTACTTTTAATAAAACCGCTGACTTTCGTCTAAATCCATCGTTTTTCTTTTCTCAGAGCAATTTATTTCTATAACGTAATCATTGTGTTAAGCCATCTACAACCGCATGATCAATGATAAAACTTTGGTTTTATTAGGGTTAACGTTAATCTGAATACGATAGAGCAGTTGTTGGTATAAAAACAGAACGACATTTCAGAAAAAAAACAAGGAAATGTAGAAACAGCACATTCACATTTAAACACGAATATTAAAACAAGTTCGTCATTAAATGTATGGAGAAAACTGGACTATGTTCGCCTTTATCGTTTAGGATGCAGGCTGTATAACTCCTTATTTTCTTATATTGAATGACAAGTCGTTTTCGCTTTCGAACAAGTCAGACCGTGCTTCAGTTGTTCCGTCTAAATGTAGTAGACTTTGTGACTAACAGAACAAGGTTATTTTACAACGTTTCGATGAGAGGAGGAAGGGAAGGTATATAACGAGATTGAAAAACGTTGGATCAGTTATAATTCATTTTCATACAAAGTATTTTTCATAATTTTGGTAAATTGCATTCGCGAGATCATAAAAACTGACATTTAATAATGCCTTACTTTCTCATAGGGACAATAATCATATACAATATCGCGTGTAGGTAGCTCAGTGCGACAAGGTAGGAATAAACTTTGGTCAAGGAAATTAGTGTCTACAGTAAAAATCAATCTAATTACGAATTGAACGTTAAGCTAAGTTGGATTTAGTCAGAAAATGTCAGATTTAAAACGTTACGATGGATTGCTAAAAGCGTGGATGCACAACTACAACTAATATAATAAACTAAAGTGTATCAATCGCCTCATAGCTACAATCTACTAGAGTTGAACCAAAATGATTTAACTACTGAACACACGTAATTTGTACTGAATTCGCATTGCTCAATAAATACATACTCTGACTCACCTAGGTCCAGAAAACACTGCCCTAAATACAATTGGAGAAAACAAAGTATGTTACAAGAAAGATGTGTTTCAGATAATAAGACGAAGAAAAATACCCTGGTTGATATCAGAATGACTTGTGTTTCGGACTATAAAATACGGGATCAGTGACTTTCCTATTTTCTACTGAGACAATAAACGCACAATAATTGCTGTTTTAGGTGATAAATGTTTAGTTTAATTAACGGAAGATCAGTAATAATAATAACATAATATGAATACTTATATTTAATACTCTCCTCGCTGTTTGAATTAGCTATAATACATAAACACATCAGTCAGCGATACGTCACATGAACAAATACACAACATAATAGTAGTATATGCAGCAAAAATTAAGTTTTAGTCTGAACAACTGGAAGGAGTAGATCTAATACAGCAACCCTTTCGATAAGAGGTAATGTTTGCACTATGTGATATAACAACTGCACACGACAAGAACAAGGTGCTTATTAAGCACCATATTAGGCTTAGTTAACGTTGACATGTCATGAGAACTTCTGAATCTAGTATCCTACTGTTTTAATATTACGTTACACTCCTTTCTTTGGTTTATTTGTGATGAAAGAAGTTGATGTTCTATTGAGAGATTATGATTAGTATTATTATGTCATAGGAATATGTAAAATCACTTAATATTTATATACAATTTCATATCCTGCTATTAACTACGAATTGACGGATAAGATACTGTAGTTGCATGTCTATGGCTTCGATTTCATTTGTTTCTGAAAGATAGACGTCTTCGCTTTGTGACTTTTTTGAGTGAGTGCGTAAGAGCAATGACGAAAAGATTTCACTTCTCTATCATGGGTAATGTAATTCACGAACACCTATTAACCGTGGAAACTAGCCACGTTAATACGTTATTAACAGGTTGCAGTGAAAAGGTAGTCCGTCACTTTAAGCAAGTGGAAGGATGCGGCGAACGACAATTAAAAGAAAGATACACTGCAGTGCAATCTTTGCATGTTTATATTTAAAACCACTACTGAGACCAACAGGAATCTTGATATTGCAATTGGTTTTGGTCTGTATCAAGTTAACTATGGCAACGCTCACGTGCTCCATGGGTGCAATTTACAAGACGAAAATACATATCTATATGTATTGTGGACAAACGGTAAATAGTTTCATAGTTTAGTCGTCTGTTTGAATCGTTTAATACTGCAAATATAATCTAACTCCTATTATTTATTTCAAGCATGATTTCTCGCTCTTCTCTGAAATTAGTATGGAAATACGACTTTGTCGGGCCAGTGAAATGCCGGCTGCTATTAGAAGCCGAATACGAGTGGCGTTAGAGGAATTTATTTCGAGCATTTGTTTATCCATACAGAGATTCAGAATAAGAAACAAGGTGACGAGGCAGATCGGAGAGGGTGTGTGAACCAACTTAATTGGACTAGATATGACTGAATATTTATAGTCAGACAAAATAGGTTACATGCATCTGGTGAGTAGAGTAAGGGATTAACACATGCTCATTTAAAAACGGTCAAGGTTAATAAGCGAATAATTGAAAGTGTCAGAATTTGATTCAAGAAGAATGAACAGATAAGTCTGTCTGAATACTAGAATAACTCATGTGGGCTGAACGGGGTACCAGCCACTACAATGTGAACTGATCGACTGAACGTGGACCAGTATCCCTTTTCCATCCAGTCTATCCAGCCCACGCTCTAGAGTGTCTCCAAAACTTTATGGATAATAATAATAATATGTATTATCGAAATAGTCATATCTACCATATAAACGTATATCATATTATTTATATACAAAATGTGTGTCAAGTGTAAGTATTATTGATTAAAGAATGAACTGAGGATTTCTTTATCTAAATTCCTTCACTGCAAACGATAAAATAAGAGCATTTATACCAGCTGAGATTTGTTTCAATTTCTAGTTGATCTGAAAATCTTTAGTATACCATACATAAACTGTTTGAAAACATATCAAGTTATTCGAGTTCAGCTTATACAATATTACGCCCGGGTAAACCAAAAGTGAGTCTACTTGGTTGATCTGTTTTGAGATACACATATGCACAATCCACAACCTAACTCTGATAATACAAATATTATATATGCAGTACGGTTTGTCAATTAATCACACCGTGCACAGCTGACATGACAGTGACGGAACATAAATATTGTTGGCAAGAGAAATCTAAAGATGGGACAGCACAAACACCTAAAGAATGTTGATATCTTATTGTGGTGTTTTAATGAACTAATGATTCCGTTTTGCTTGTTGAATGCCTGCTTTTGAATTCCAAATACAGTACATTCGTTCGTGCTTATCCTGTACTTCTCTATCCAATTGCGTCATTTCTGAGATTCTTAGTTCATACTATAATTCAAATACTTCTAATCATCACATGAATGTACACTGTCTTTTGAAATCGTTGATGAAATAAATACTCAGCTTAATAGAATCAGAATTAAAATACTTAATATTAGTTGCAGCAAGATGGACAGTAGTATTACAAACTGACTGAATATGTTCACTATCACCATATTTAAAGCACTTGGAATTACGAAATTTACATGAATTAAAATAGTGGAACCTGCCACAGGAGAAACATTGACCAAACTTGTGCCCATCTTCGTGAAATGCATCACAACTCCTCAATGAATGATCTGCATAACCTTGAGTATGCACTGGGTTGGGACGACGTAATGAAGTGGAATTTTTTATATCCTCATGAATCATTTTACGAAATCTTCCTTTCCCGCATTTCTTGAGATCTGTATAAGGAAGCGAAATTAGTTTTCCCGGTAAAGCCAGAGTTCTTAATAAGCTGTATGCTTCTTTTCCGATGAATATGCGGAAATGTGCTACCTTGGTAACATCCTCATTATCTTCCTTGGTCATTGTCCATATTTCGAACCTTTCAAAGTAATCCTCAAAAGCGTAAAAATCTGACTGTGTACCCAACAATTCCATCACTGGCTCCATCGCAACGCCAATGTGATGATTAGAAGTATTTGAATTATAGTATGAACTAAGAATCTCAGAAATGACGCAATTGGATCAAGAAGTACAAGATAAGCACGAACGAATGTACTGTATTTGGAATTCAAAAGCAGGCATTCAACAAGCAAAACGGAATCATTAATTCAGTCAAGCACCACAACTTCTTGATCCAATCGCATTATTTCTGGGATTCTTAGTTCGTACTACAATTCAAATGCTTCTAATTATCACACTCAGGTGCCTATATGTTGATTGAAATACAACATAGTTGCTTATGAGATTGACCATTTGTCGATAGTTCTGACTCATTCACCATGTTTTGGTTACCAACGTTTTTCATCCAAACGCTAATTAGTGTGCAGTTCAAACAAATAATTTGCTGTACTTGGAAAAATGATATGTGTAGTGCCATTGCACCGAAACCAAACAATCCTCAAAGTTGGACAGGAGACAACTGGGAAAATTGATATTCAATATTTAACGCGGAGAAAAAACCAACGATGGAGAAAGCGGAAAGAATGAATCCAATGAATTAGAACTGATCGGATGGGATGGCCCGGCTTTGCAGACGTGGCCTTATGTAAAATTATTTTTATCCATATTAAATATATTGTACCACGTAAGATCTTATAGATTAGACAGTTACACCATAAAAAATCTACAACTTTAGGACTAGGTCCATTATTAGAGCAGTACTGATAACGAAGTAGATCGTAATTCTACATATGTATCAACATTCATGGTCCAAA